GAAAAAGTTTACGGAACTCTCTGCGCGCTTCTACGTCGCGAAACTGCTCCACTCGCGAGATCGGCGGAGCGTCGTCCAGAGCCGAGATATTTTTTGCGCGTCTATCGAAGCGTATTTCGCGATTACTGCGTAAGCTCGTCCGCTCTTATCGCGAAAGCGAACCTCGCCGGCAGCGGCAGCGGTTCGCCCTTGCGCCAGGTGCATCTTTGACTCGTAACTACGCTCGTGCATCTTCCTCGCCGGCGACCGCTGGCGCTGGCTATCTCTCCCGCGCTCGCTGCTCTCCTTATTACTGCGAGATAAATTTCACCTGCACCGCGGCGCTATCATTCAGCAGCCCTGCGACAGATACACTCTCACGAACACACGGCTTGACTCGTTCACTGGGAAAACGTGGCTCCGACTCGTGGTTCTCCGCTCGCAGAGACGCTCTTATCGTACGCAAAATATGAGCGCTTCTCCCGCTTATCTTTCCCGCGTGCTCGTGCGCGCGAAAATGACTGGGGCACGTTCGTTTTTAGCGCGTCGGTTACGTGCGCGAGACGGAAATTAATCGCGCACAGATCAGCGTGTCTGCCTTATTTAAGGCGCGGAGGCTCGTTGCGTGAAACTCGCCTCGCTTGAAATTTGCTTTGCTTTGAATTTAGAGTCGGATCCGATGAGCTCCTCGGCTGAGTCATCACGTGACACGTGTGACGTGTTTGTGATCAAATTTGCAAATCGAGAGGGGGACATCTGACTCTAAATTCAGATCCGAGTATCTCGTATGCGACTCTCGTATATCTCGTACTCGACTTGTAATTCAAATGAAATGCATCCAATTCGAAATTCAAATCCAGGGGTCTCACTTGAGACAAGTTTCAAGTAACGACTATCAACACAGGCCTTGGTGAATCGGGGTTTTCAGCCGTACGCGCACGTGTGCGTGCGAGTGAACGTCCTAGTTATCATGATAACAAGTGTTGAGGCATTTCTGTGTCGACCTGTGTAGCTTGTTTGACATAGCAACTGAATGCGCTAGAAAACATCTGGCTATTCTCTTCTCATGCTTCCTCTACGTGTCCCTACGTGTAGAGATACTGATATCTCTGTGAAAAGATTATGTGTGTCCACAAATAATACGACTCTCTGTTACTATACGAAAACACAAGTTCTCGCACCTCTCGGCTCCTATCGTGCGTTTCGAGCGGCCCTGAATAATACCAAACGCACGTAGGATTAAATCTGTTCCTTTCAGCTGCGTGTTTTACACGCGCTCCCGTCCCTCGCCGAAAATTACAAACGTATGTTTTTCTTCCGTGATGTGTTCGCGATGGGTTCGAGCGAAATGAAAAATCGCATCCGAAAGGAACAGACGCGTAATTGCGTTAGCGCTGCATACAAATACACACACACACACACACACACACACTTATAGACAGTTTCTTTAGCGGGAATGCCGCGTGGTAAAACATTCATTTGTCAAAGATATTATAAGTTATAATCGAACATTCAAACGCATCTCTAACCACGACCTTTTTTTTTCAATTTTCAGAGCGAGGCGTAAGCGTCGAGGCGGACGTATTTCCGAAGCGAATTTACTGCAATTACCGACCAAAAGAGAGATAGAGAGACAGAGAAAGAGAGAAAAAGAGAGATAGGGAGAAATAAAAAGAAAAAGAAAAGGAAAACAAAATAGAAAAAAAAGAAAGATAGAGAGAGAGAGAGAGAGAGAGAGAGAGAGAGAAAGAGAGAAAAGCGAGAGAACAGAGGAACTAAAGCAGGAACGGAAAACAAAAGTTACCACGATCAAACATACTACTGTTCTCGTTTATGCCCATTTTAATATAATAACAACGGCCGCGATATTCGAGAGCAACGAGCGTACTCGATATAATTCCAGACGCAGACCTGCGTGTGCGGTCGCGAAGGGACGAGAGAAAAGAGAAAAAGAAAAAAAAATGAAAAAAAAAAGCAAAAAGAAATACCGAATGTCCCGTCCTTTCATTCGATTATCTTCGAGATTTCTCCCTTTCGCCAGTGTCTCGAGCTTCACGATTTCAATCAGTGGATAATTGATACGATAATTGATACGCGCGACACGTCCCCTTTCTTTTCTGCGCCGCGCCGGCGGAACTCATTTAACTCGTTATTCTATGAAAACATGCTCGCTGCGACTTGCTTCGACTGATCAAAAGCAGAAGAGGAAACAAGAAACCAAAGAGAAAAAGAGGCAATGATTTTAACGAACGCGACTTTCGACTTTGTAATTTCCTTCTCGGCCTCGCCGTTCTCGATGTATTTAACGTTCACACCGTCGTTACGAAATTGTACCACTGACACTTTGTTACATTTTATCAGAAATATAAGAATACACTGAGAGAAAGCATGATATGTGTGTATGTATGCGAAGACGTTTCGTTACACGAAATACCGAAATAGATAATGCTCGCGTCGTTTCTCTCCGCAGCGCGTCTCGTTCTCCGCTGAGAGCTCACTTTGCGAATTGTACGAATCGCGCGACGCAGCGTTCGGGAATACGAAACTTCGCGGAGTCGGTCCGCTTGTCAGCGGGCAAATCGCCGTCGCTCGAATCCGAACGTTTCTCGGCGATTCTCCGCTCTCTTGCGCGATTCGCGGATTTTCGCGATCCCGCCTGTTAGAGTAATATGGATGTTCCACGATGCAACCTTTACGAGCTCGACGCGAATATCCGCGTCATTGTTAGCGGCGTATCGCGCGGCTCAGAATCGCTAAGTATAAAACAGAGAAAGAGAGACTATATATCGGGTTCTCTAGGTAAGTCCCCACAATCTGCATCAGTTTTTCCTCCTTTTTTTTTTGCTTGCGGTAGACCGCTCGCAGCATAAGATTATCGTTAGCGTATCTCCGTTGCGCGAAGCGAGCGACGTGCCAGTCGGCAATAGGCGAAGTAAAAACTCGTCGTTGCGCGAGAATTGTGAGAAATGAATCGACCGCTTCAAGCGTCTGCGATCAATTCCGCTCGTCAATTTAAACCGATCCTGGCGCAATGGAACCTCCTCTTAATCGCCTGTCCGGCTTTTCTTGCTCCGGCGATCGAAGGGTGCCTCCATCGTCCTGATATTCCTGTTTCGCCGTCGTGTCGCGGCGGACACTCGCGTGATCGATCACCCGGAAGCGACCGCGAGCGCCTCGTAAATCCGCGTCCTCGCGGTGAGCGAGGACAAAAGAACGGAAAAGAAAACAGAGACGAAAGTCCACTCGTCGCGCGAAATTGCCTCTCCCGGCGGTCTCGTCAATTATCTAATTGCGCTCGGCCCCCTCCCTCCCCGGAGGCACTTTTTCCGATCTAATTTAATTAATAGAGCGTGCCGCTAGAGATGCCCGCCATCGGTAAACGCTCGCGTTTCGCAATGCTCCAGCTTCCTCCGACGCACCGGCTGCGTAATTGCTTTCACGAATGCTTATCGACGATAGTGTCGACGATAGTGTCGGCATTCGGCCCGCGGCGGAGAATTTCCTCTGGCGCCGCCGTCGCCTCGGCTCGACGGCTGTCTTCGCGGGCTCGCGAGGAGCCGCAGAAGGAATCGCGGGAATCGGTCTCCGCGTCTCTTAGCGACGTCGCTCGCGGATTTCCGGCCAATCCTGTTTGTACGAAACTCGTATGAAGCTATACCCTTAATTGGATTATCGGCAACGGAGAGATTACGAAACAAACGTATTGTTGAGTAACGCTCGTGCACGCACTTGCACACGCGTATATACGCGATATATCTTACCGTTGTCCTCTAGCGAAACAGCTGAAGCTCGTGCAGAGATTCGCGCGAGCCTCGGAGAGGAGAGGAGAACGATCTAGAATTCGGATCTTGATCGTCGCGTTCGCATTTTCATTATTATCCGCTAGCGTTGTGTTCGTTACGTTCATTAAACATCGCTCGGGCACTGACATTTATTAGTCCGGTGGCATTCGGAATTTTCCAACGTGTTTAAACGGGGATCATGGGAGCGCGCGCCGCTCGCTCATTGCAGAATTAATTCTGCATAGATCAGAATTTGCGGTGATGCATATACATCAGAGAATTGATTAACATGTCAATGTTAACACATTCTGTGCGTGCGCACGCAAATGAAATTGTGCGCGCGGGAGATCGCTCCGTCGAATATAATTGCACGCTGCCGCGTCGAGACCGGCTTGATATTTGCGCAAGTTCTCATCGGGAAGTCATTAGTATTGCGTACTTGTTCCTTCCCCCCAGCCCCACCCCCTCTCACTCCCACCGCCGAGAAATATTGTGGACTCCGCGAATCCCTAATCGCGCGTATCGAAAGCAAAATTCGGCTGACCAGAAACGAAGAGTCTCAGAATTGTAGGAATTTTATTGCGCAAACTACGATCACGTGAAACTGAGGAAAAATCGAGTCAGATCGACAGTCTGACGTGCAATTAGCGAAATCAAAGCGTAATCGTGCATTTAATGTAGATATTGTCTTTCACTTATCCGAAGCTTGATTTAGCTACATGCTACGAGCAGTTTTCCTTTGGTTGGATAAGTAAATTGGACGAGAAACGTGACCAGCGATTTGTTGAGTCAGTTTTCGCCTCATTGAACTTTGAGTTTACATTTCACACGAGAACTCGAAATATATCGTCAAAATTTGCTCGGAGAAGATTAAAGTTGCTTTACTGTGTACAAAAATCTGCAATCGAGTTCGTTTCACTTGATTCGAGTTATTTCGATGTGCCTTGTGTGTATTTAGAAATTTATTTAATTTTTTTAACTTTAATTTATTTAATTTATTTATAAAATTTTGAAGAAGAGCGAAAATCACACCGATTTGTCTGCTCGACTGCAATCGCTGTCTCTTCGTGTACTTGAGCTAGCGCTCGCGTGTAAGCCAGTTGTCGCGTTCAAGCGAGCAAGTAGAACTCACCGCGAAGTAGACGAGCACGCCCTGTTAATTACTGACGCACCAATTGTACTAATTGTCTGCCTTTTGTTCCCCTCGCTCGTTCCCCGCGCCGCTCGATTCTACGACAGAGGGTGACGCCGATTCGCAAGATCAAACGGAGCAGAAGTTTTCCCAATGAGAGCGAGACGACCGATCGCGTGGCCGAGCTCGAGGAGCTGCTCTCTTCGAGATCAGGTACGTCCTTCAGGTCGTCGTCCTCGAAGGAACGATGGAAACCCGCGAAGCGATCGCGTTTTTATCGGGCCGACTATCAGCCCGACAAAGCGCAGAGCTGCGTTTCGGTTTCCCTCATTCGTTTCGGCGAGATATCATTCGCTACGCTACGAGATCATAGCCGACGTCGTTGTTAAATCGATCTGAGAGTGTTCTCTCTTTATGAACATAATTATACATGAAGAGGGTATGCTTTGAGTAGAAATATATTCAAATGGTACGTCTTATTCTGCGGGAAAGGATTTTTGAAACGATCCAGCCGATTTTCGGCATGAGATGGAAAAATTACTTATTTTCTATACTCCTCGCGTAATTTCTACACACGGACATTCCTGTACGAAGAATTGAGACAATGCGGAATGTCGAGTGTGCGGAGAGACAAACCCCGGCTACTCGTCGGCGCGGGTTTCATTCTTCCTCTCGATGAAAAATTAGCCGGTGGCTTAGAAACAACTCGTACGATGATTAACGTGGTCTCGTGAAAGGAATACAAATCTCCGCGTTACGGGGCGCACTTTTCACAGACCACCATTCGTACTCGTTGTACTTCGAAAGCGGGTTGTATAAATCGTCGTCCGTTCAGTCGCCACGATTTTACCGTTTGTTTGCGCGCCCGTATGTGTGAGTATATGGTGCGGCCGTTTTCAGATGCTTCTATTGTTCCGAAACGGGGCTATGTGTCGCGTCTCATTTCGCGAAGCATTATCGGGATTTCTATACGGACCTTGCCGCCCCCCCCCCCCTCGCCGCTCTACCGGCTGACAGAAATCGACGAAATGCCCACCCACGCTCGCACACAAGGATTCACTGTGTGACGTGGCAATTTGCCATTACTATTGAGCTTCAATATAGGAAAACCATCAATTTTGATTCCGCGCGCGCGCGCGCGCGCGATTAAATTAGCTTCCTTTATAGACACAAAAGCGCAGTGCGCTTTAATGCATCGTCCCGCAACACGCGACGTCCTTCCGCGCGGCTGCAAACGGCAGGGCGAATTTTTCCACAACCGCGGACGATTTATCATCGCGATCATCGAGCTGCCGCCAGACATCGCGCAGATTAATCGAGCCAATTAACGGATCCCAAGTCGGGATCCTCTGTCATCGCACGCTCATTACATTCCCGCAAACTCACGAAGCTCGGCTCGACGCGATCGCGCTAAACACACTACCGTCTTCTCGCTCGCAGGTTTGACGGAATCGTCGACGAACAAGCCGCAGGTCGACGAGGACGAGGAGGACGACGAGGACCACTGGAAGGACGCCTCTCCGGTCACACCGATCTGCAGCCCGGCACGACGACCTCCCAAGCTGCAGCGTCACGACAAGCGCTCGCCCACCAGGTACATCGATGTCGACAACGACGTCGAGATCATCCACGAGTTTTACCCCACGACGTCGAAGACGATGCACGAGGAGACGAGCATCGTGTCGTACGGCGGCACGATCATCGTCGAGACCACGAGGATACCCAGGCACAGCAAGGACGTGTCGGCGAGGATGGAGAAGGTGGCGCCGAAGGTCAAGTTAAAGAAGCAGCCGTCCGTTGAGCCGGACCGCGTACCGCCCGTGCAGGAGGAGCCGTCCACCAGCGCGCGCGAAGACACGCCGAAAGTCTCGACCTCGAGGAGGTCATCGCGGCAGGCCGCGGAGCGTGGTAAGAGCGTGAAACGCCGCGGCAGCTTGGAGTCCGAAGGCCGTACGTCCACGTCGAGGGAGACGCTGGAGAAGTCGGACACGTCGTCGGAGAAGGGCGCCAAGAAAAAGGTCTTCGCAGAGAGGCAGGACGGTAAGAAGCGGTCGAGGAAGTCGGACGGCAAGCGCGCCGGCAAGGTCGACCGGCGGATCGAGGCGGACTCGTCGAGGCGGAAAGCGGACTCGCTGGAGGACGAGGAGTCCAAGCGGAAGGATCACGTCGAAACTTACCGGCGTTCGCGCGAAGAGCGGAAAAGCTTGAAGGAGCAGGAGTGCATCGAGAGGGTGACGGAGTTCTTGACGAGGCACAGTATCCCGATTTACCCGGACAGCGGTGGCGGAGCCAACCTCGAAGCGGCGGAGCCGCTGGAAGTTCCTCCCAAGCTCGTCGTGGACGAGCAACCGCAGCAACGAGTCAGACGTCCGTCGGCTGTTGGCGGAGAGGGAGAAGTCGAGCACGCCGCGACAACCCCCGATGCATCAATCGCGTCTGTGAAGCGAAGGGAGAGCCTAAAGAGTGTACCCGAAGCGGAGGAAGCAAAGGACTATCCGCGGGATTCAACGGCGGTCGCGAAAGACGCGGGAAGAACCTCGGATAGTAGAAAGCAACGGCGAACTTTGGAGCGTGCCCCTGTGGCCGTCTCGGACGTCCAGCAATTGGAAGCGACGGCTGTTCAAGAACCCGCGAAGCGACCCAGCTCCTTGAGAAAGAGAAGGGACTCCTTTTCCAGAGAGTCCTCGAGAGAATCGCTGTTGGAGGAGAAGAAGGGCGTGAGGATTCAAGAGGACGTTCAGGAGATCTTCTTCGAGGACACCAGCGAGCAGGTGAGTGGACCGAGATGTTCTCGAAGAGCAAGAAACGGATAGTGAAGGCGCAAGGTAATTGCACGGATTAAGAGAACACCTCGCCGATGACCTTGATTTTTACATCATGTTGTCGAGGTCGAGATTGAGAAATTTGAAAGAAACTCCTGAACAGTTTTCAGCAGGAAAGCTATCCGTGTTTGTGCTTGATAACTTGAGTTACAGCAAATATGAGATCTGCATTGTTTATGTGCTTAGGCACATAATACGTTGTCGTAGATAAGGTATCTCTTAATCCGTATCATTACCGAAAAGAATTTCCTCGACACGATTTGGATACGCCTTCTAATTCTAATTTCGACCGTGCTGTACATCAGGTGGCCGACTTGTTGCCGGAAGTACAGCTGGTGACCGCGAGGATTATCACGACGGAGGAAGCGTCCGCGATACGTTTTGAGGAAGCAGCCACGAGGATCGAAGTCCACTCGCCGCCGGAAGTGGCCATTGTGTCCGAAACATTCAGGCCGAAAATCCTGACGCGAGCGCCGTCGCCGGAAGCCGTCGTCGACGTCTCGTTGTTGCAGTTACCCGCCTTAGCGAAGTCCACTTCGGAGAGTACCTTGACGGAGGACAAACTGCTGACCGTCGGCGAGGACAAGAAGATCTCCGTGAGGAACCTCAAGCCGGAGATCCTTCTGGATCTGTCCAAAGTCTCCGATAACGGTGAAGACCTCGACGACGCGATCGAGAGCGGCAAGGAAGTCAAGGAGAGGCGACTCAGTCGAGCTGGAAGTGAAGGTTCGAAAAGATTGCAGAAGCCTCAGCTGCAGGAACAGTTTCCCTTCAAGATCGGTAGCATCGCGCAGCCGGACAGGCCGGAACTGACGATTCTGCACGAGGCGGAGAAGGCGGAGAGTGTCGGGGACCTCGAAAGAAAGATCGCGAAAGAAGACGGCAGTGTTTCCAGGTAAGGGCTTTTGCTTCATTTATGTCGACCTCGTGGAACGTGACGAGTTTGTTATGTTTGTAAAATCACAAGTCGAAATTTCGGCTCTACATTAATTACGCAAATTCCGTTCGATTTTCGATGAAGGATCTCGAAATGAAACATTATATAAGTTATCGTCCTATTTTGGTGGTGCAAATAGAACTCGACATCAGTCGACTAAATTTCATAGTTGATTCGTTCATTCCAATCAGAAATAGAGATATAGAATATAGAATATAGAATATGCAAATCTAGAGTATTGAGATGTATTGAAATATTAGGTAATTCGTAAGTCTTTCCTGAATCTATATATATATATATATATAAAAAAACGGAAGAAAAAACGACGGTATGAATATGTGGACGGTGTAGCTCGACGGAATTTGAAGGGTAAAAGGCAGAGCTTTTACCCTGCAAACAGTTGCACTTACGGAATTACACATACGCGGCTAATGGAATGTTTGATATTTATCTTATTATACATATAAAACACAGCGTCAACTCTGATATTTCTCTCTCAGCGCAGTAATTTCTTTTAGTCTGTATTCCGCACATTGTGTGCGACATATCTTATTTTATCGAATACTCAAGCGCAGCCAATTACGCCAAGAGGATGTTTCGACGGCTGAAATCCGCTCGCGCGGACGAAAATCGATCGATCGCGCGGCGGCACGCGCAAAGAGGGGGTCGCACAATTTTGTTTGCAATATCACAAGCGCGGTCTGTCGATCGAGTTATAAGTTCGAGCGACGTCGCCGCTTGGGGCTTCGAATGTCGATTTGCAAACAGTATTGTTTGCTCGGTAAGTTTGTCGGTCCCGATTAGGGTTGGATTACACGCGTGGCCATAGAAACCCCGAGGTGCCCGTGCAATTTGCTAGAAATCTAGGTCGCCGTTAATACGTACGCGAATATATACGCTTCGCGTCCCGAAAATTTTACGCGGAGATTCGCGCGCCGAGAGCTGAATAATTTACCGCCGCGACCTTTGACCGCTCGTGTGTTTCTCGTGAACATTAAATGAGCCTACAACCGCCGGACACTGCGAATTTCACCCGTCGGCGAATTTTTCCACCCCGTTGCTCCTCGAGAACAACGTGCTGCCCCTTTCTCTCGCTCTTTCTTTTTTCTTTATTTACAACCTAATAAATGTAACGCGTGTGCAGTCATAGTAAAGTCGGAAGGTGAAAATGTTCCGATCTCCTTCTCTCTCTCTCTCTCTCTCTCTCTCTCTCTCTCTTCCCCTCCCCCCTTTTTCCCTTTCACTTTACTCTCCTACCGTTCCACCCAGAAGAAACTTTTTCTTCGTTAACTTCCACATTTACGATGCCACAAACTTCTCGCGGAGCCCACGGAAGAAAGCACTTATCGCGAAGTGCTATTTTTTTTTATGGGTCGCTCGGATTCAACTCTGGAATCCCGTGCAACGCGTATACGACGTGGCAATTCTGACGCGCACGAAGTGATATTTATTTCGTATTTTTACACTTCAAGTGTCTCTCTCGTTTCCGCGATGCCGGTCACGATCGCACGTAGTCGTACGATTTTATCCGGATTTGCCATGGATTGTCGCGTGTCTCCACTTGCGTCGTTAACAATCTTTTCATTTTGTATGTAAGCAGTCTTCGGCTGCAAAAGGACTGCACGAATAATCGCACGGCATATCGCGAAATACGAAATACAAAGCGGGAGAAGTGCATACGGGGGAAAGAAGAAAGAGCGAAAGAAGGGTTTCAGGCCGGCTAAGTAGATACGGTAACGCGGGATCAGACGTGACACGTTCGAATGCCACAGATGCCAAATTCGAGCGCGCTAAGTAGATACAGACTGCCGCTGCCAGGCAAACCGAGACGGACTCAGCCGTAGGTCGACGGCGAGCGGACACGGAGGCAGTGCGAGCGAGATATCAGTGGGAACAGTGGAAAAGGTCGCGACGAGGCCGACACATGCGGCACATAGAGCGGCGGATACGCACGATGAAGTGAGGAAAGACAGCCGAGGATCAGCCGGCGCGGATGAGCGCGAAGTGGCGCACCGGCGGACGTAGATTGACACGGGATGACGTCGGCAAGAAAAGACAGGCACACGGAGATTGTGATGTAACGAGCTTTCTCTCTCCCTCCCTCTCTCTCTCTCTCTCTCTCTCTCTCTCTCTCTCTCCGAGAGAGAGGGGGGGTGGAAGAAAGAAAAAGAGAGAGACAGATATAGCAGGACGACCTCGTTTCGCGAGAGAGAGAGGCGAGGACGGTCGGTGGCAGGAGAAAGAAGGGGCGGGGCGCACTCGAGCGGAAAGCAACGGACAATGCAGGCCGCGAAGTAGAAAAAGACGCTCGGGTGTACGGCAGTTCGTCTGCTCTGCCGACCGTCCGTCCGACCGGCTAGCCAGCTAGCCAGCTGGCGGTCTGTCTCGCTGACTGAAGAGACAAACACGCGAGCGATGCGACACAGGAGGATAAGAAGAGATAAAAGCGTCGTTACAAAGGAGCAGAAAAGAACGAGGGGAATTGCGAAGAAACGAAGGCGAACGCGCGAGATATGTGACGAGATATGTGACGTTAAAGAGACTTAAAAGATGCGCGGAATTGCCGGCGGAGTAAGGGAAAGAAAGAATGAGTAGCGGTGGAAGAGATGAGGAGGGACGGGGAGGGACGAAGAGGAGATAGATAAGACTGAAGAGAGAACGTGAAAGAAGACAAAGTGTGGAGGATAAAACGGGGAAACTTTAGCGGATAGAAAGAGCATGTGGCGCAGCAAACAAAACGAAGTGGCTGGTCATGCATTGAGAAATGCAGATAAATACAACGCGGAGGAAAAATAGGGAGATTCGAGGGAGGGAAGAGAGAGAGAGAGAGAGAGAGAGAGAAAGAGAGAGAAGAGAAGAGAGAAACGAATTCATGACGCAGAAGCACGAACGAATGTCGCAAAATATACAGAAAGACACGTTCTATGCAACAGCACGATCGTACTCGACGTCGAAACGTCTCTCTGCTCTCTTCAACGATCCGCAAACGAACGAGAGCGGTCGTCAGTTGATTCTTCCAATTAGATGGCCCTTAATTGACCACCTGATTGTCGATTTCATCGGCGCGAGGCATGAAACGTCGAGAGAGAGAGAGAGAGAGAGAGAGAGAGAGAGAGAGAGAGAGAGAGAGAGAGAGAGAGAGAGAGAAACATGGCAATCAGGTCTCGATGGAGAAATCTAGATCTCGATTGGAGAAAAACGCGAACATGCGGTTGCTCCTAATGAACTCGCGTTCCCGCGAATGGTGCCAACTTCGCGGCACACACACACAGACGTGTTCATTGATCGATCGCGTGTCTTTAGCGAAGAACGCTTTAATTGCGCCCCTGGCATAAATCTCGCCGCTCTATAACCGCCCATACTAATATTTGGAAGCCGGCGAACGTCATCCCGGCATCAATCAGTGCCATTTCGCATGCGCACACTGCCGGGGACAATATTTGTTATGCTACCTTCCGTCTTGGCTGCCACCCCTACGAGCACGGGAATATCACACTCTCCTGCGCGTCTGGATCTTATTAAAACACTCTCCCCCGCTGCGTGCGCTTTATATTTCACTCGACCGTCCCGATCTCGCTCGCTCTGCCGCTCCGGCGACGAGCCGACGGGGAAAATGAGGGTTGCGGTAAATCTCCGAGCCTGCGAAGAGATGATTTTCGGCGGAACGAGGATACGATACGATACTATACTCGTTGTGGAAAGATGTCGGCGGGAGGGAAAAAGGGAAAAAAGGGGACAGCGACAGCTTTGCTTTACTTTGCGCGATTTAACGCAAAGTATATAAGGTTAGATCGCGCGCTGCTCGCACGAATAATGGTTGCTATCAAGTATATACACAAGACCCGCGTCGTACATACACATCCGCTGTGAGCGAAAGCGCCTACGAAGGCGGCAATTTACCATTAATTTAACGCTCATAACGTTATTATCGTTGTATGAATAACGACGGCGCTCGTCGGACAATTAGCTGTTATCGAAACGATAAATTTTCGATAAGATAATCGCTCGCGCGCTTATGTGCGATACAAGTAATTACGATTTAAAGATATATTCATCGAATTTACGGTGGGCGAGCGAGCGAGCGCGTCGCGTTTGTCCGCGATTTTAATTTTCATTTGCCGCGTAGATTAGCCTGCGCGAGGATAATCCACTTTTCATTTGCGAGGATGGATTATCCGCGGGACGCGCGCTCACGTAATAATTTAAATCGAATTTCGCAAAATTGTCTCGTCGCAGACACGTTCTCTTTTTTCCCCTTCTCCTCTTCCCGCCCCCTCTCTCTCTCTGTCTCTCTCTCTCTCTCTCTCTCTCTCTCTCTCTCTCTCTCTCTCTCTCTCTCTCTCTCGTTCTCATTCTTGCTCGTAAAATCGCGCTTGCCAATCCGGCGTGCGCGATTGGAGAACTCGCGCCGGCGTTTATCGAAAATTGGCTCGGCCGGCACGAGCTGTTCGGATTGCTCCTTCGATTACGCGCGCCCACGCGCGCGCGCGCGCGCGCGTGCGTGCGTGTTTATAGCGTGGTTTCTCTGCGAGAATCCTCCACACGTCGTCACGTGAAATACATTCGCGAATCCGTGCAGTGGCACAAAGACAATGTGTGTGTGTGTGTGTGTTTGCTTGCGCGTATACACGCTCACACCTTTCGGTTTTGTCCGGGCCGCCGGCAGTCGCGCGAATTTCAGCCGCTCGGTGACACGTGCACTCTCACACGATCGTCCTCGGCTCAGCGTGCACATTCAGTGACATATCTGCGCACGTTCTCATTTCTCACGAGCTACTCTGCATATACGAACTGCATATACAGCGTGTCCCACTTGGACCGTGTTGTTTTGCAGCGCGGCCGGGATTCCCCGAACAATTCGGATTAGATTTTTTCCGCGACGAGGGTAACACGCGTCTCTCCTCGCAGCAAGATTCCAATTTCGCCTTCGTCTCCTCTGCTCCCCCTCCCCTCCCCCCCCTCTCTCTCTCTCTCTCTCTCTCTTTCTCTTTCACTTTCCAATATTTTCCTCCCGACACGTCACGTGTATCCTCGAGTCTCGAATGAAAATTCCATCGGACCAAATTCTGGCCGTGAAATTAGCCGGGAGAACATTTCACTTGTCTTGACCCGGCACTTCGACCTGCGGAAATTTCGCTCTCGCGACAACGAGAAACCCTTCCTTCCTTCCTTCTTCTCCCTTCGATCGCGCGGTGGATTACCTCGGGGAAGGGTCGCGACTAGTCGCGAAATCGATCTCAGATTCGCCGGTGGAATCTGTCGCGCTGTGTCGCTTCAAGTGGGAACGTCCTGTGTATTTGCGCTATCTCACGAGTATCTCGCGTAAGTACATACATACAAGCGTACAAATACACTTGTACCCTCGCGTCCCTCCTCACGTCTCCTCTGCGTGCGTTCGTTCCTCCTGCGCGGTTACGTATATACCGTATATTCACATGCGCGCTCATCTTTATCTCTTATAGATACATAACTAACATACACACACACACACATGTACGTCAAGATCACCCTCACCATCGCCCCGCGGAAACGCACACGCGTAAAGTTCTCTCTCGCGAGTCGGCGTCGGCGTCTCCTCCAGTCTGCGTGCATCGGCGTTCGCGTTCGCGCGCTTCTCTGTGTGTCGACTCGCGGCCACCCGCTGCCCATGTGCGCGCGTAAACGTGGGTGTGTGTGTGTGTGTGTTCAACACGCGTCCCGCGAGAGGCAGAAGTGTTGTTTATTAGATCAGAGGAAGCCAGTTTGCAGTGACGCACGGCCGGCCCGGCCGGAGACACGGCAGTGAACACCTTGGCTTCCGACCATTCGCGGTGTAACACGAGGAGAGCTCCTCGCGGAGAACCTCCGTGTTGGTCAACACGTATCCTCCATCGGGTGTCTGTCTCCTCGCTCCCTTCGTCGACGAGCCCTCACGTGCCTGAGTGCAGTCCTTCGACGTTCTCTCTTGTGTATGCGTATTCTTGAGACGCCTCGTTAACGAGGCGACGACGACGACGACGACGAGACGAAAGAGAGGTGAAAGTTCGTTGGCCGTGAGAAGAGAGAAACGAGAGCGGAAGTGTGAACCACGCGCGACAACGTTGTCGCACGGATAACGGAAGTCGCAGTATGTCGCGTAAGAGCCGACCTTGTCTGCTGTTGGATCCGCGCGTAGTTGGCCGTCGAGAGCGAGTCGCGTTGGTACGCTCGGCGCGCACTCGACGATTCTCGACGCTCGTTGCAGTTGACAGATGTTAGGGATATGTAAAAGCACGTCGTACGGGAGAGGGAGAAGCAGGGAGAGAGAGAGAGAGAGAGAGGGAGAGAGAGAGAGAGAGAGAGAGAGAGAGAGAGAGAGAGAGAGAGAGAGATAAACGCGTGAGAGTCGCCTCGTGTGCATTTGAAAAATTAACTGCTCGTTGCACAATTTACTTGTGAGTTCGGTCGAACTCGCGATATCGATCTCGTCGGAGCGAAGCTTCGCAAGTTGCGCTTCGCGAGGATTACGATGACGGAGCGACATCGTCCAGCTAATGATGAAAGATAGCTGTTTAGGTAAATTTGAATAATAATTTGAGCGGGGAGAGAATTTTTGATGTGTTAAGGTGCGATCGCTCGTTCGAGAGAAACACGCGCACAGTCGCACTCGATTGGGCGATTTAAAGCGAATGATTCTTGACGCAGCATCAGAGTTAATAGCGAAATATCAGAGTTGGCTCCACAGAGTTTTGTCGCGTCTCTCGCCTTGTTATTCAACACGTTGACTGTCACGCGGGTCACCGATGGCCGACATTATGTGACTTTGCCGCGTTAACTCACGCATAAAGCGTAGCTAATGACACTTGAGGAATAAAACGCGCTGCCGATGAAAAAGCTGATAAAAGCGCCCGGGAAATTTGGCCGCGTGCAGGAAGCGCGTGCGTTTTGCCCGTGAAATTTCGTCCGTTCCGAAACTACAGTCGAGTTCCGCGCGAGAGAAGTTCAGCTCTCGGTAGTCAGCGTGCGATATAATAATATGTATCGATCAGGCACGTTAATTTATAACATAAAGAAGCACATATTGAATACACATCGCGATCCCCCCTCGCGGAGATAATAATAACGGACACACGAAGACGGCACGAAGCGGTCTCGCGTATAGCGGCAGAAATACCGAGTTATCTTCCCGGCCCGAATATCACGAGCATTCGAGTGCGTAACAGCTTTTTCTGTCGAAAGCAAACACCGGTAAGTCCGTCACATTCCCGCGCGTGGGATTTATACCGTTCACGTGTATACATATCGAAAATGTGTGCGCACGTCCCGCAACGAGAATATCGCCCCCACGCGCGACGCGATACGTAAAGGCACCGCGTCCGCGTTATCCCCCCGCTGTGCTGCTCTCGCGTCTGCCATTCCGCGAGATATCGCGTTAAAACACATCCCACGTCGTGTCGCTCCATTTTTATCGCACGCGGACGGTAGCGCCGAGGGTCAGAGGGAGCGCATTCCTTCCGACGCTATACGCGATACGTAAACACGTCCTCCTCCTCTTCTCAATTGATACTTCCCTAGAAATACATCCTCATCGAAGTCACTCGCGAAAGATATCACGATGAAAGACTGCCCGCGCTTGCGGAGACGCGACGATTAAAAGATTACTTGTACCGTCAAAGGCATTACATAACGGCGGGAGAGAGAATCAGGTCTCTAGAGAATTTCGAACCGAAGAATGTCATCTAGCCCCACTGTGCGACGGCATGCGCTCGCGCGACTGAGCGCTGAAAGCCGTCGGCGTCGCCGGCGAATAATGAGTGAGTCTCCGGCATTGTCGCGCGCGTCCCGAGTGTCATCTCTCACGCGAGCGCCGTTCCAATTGCGCGCAATACTTTTCTTCATTGCAATGACCGTAACTTCGCCGCCGCCGCCTCACTCGGTCGTGCAGATGTGACAGCCGGGTTGTCACTAATTTCTATGTCGATCCGAGTGAGTTGTGACGTGCAAACGGGACGCGTCATCGTTAAAGATATTTTCACCTCGTGTACGCGCGTCCGCGCGGTGATCTCAGCCGGGACGCGCGATCGCTTCTGATTTGCACGCGTTGCGCGGTGTCTAGCACAGAGTGTCGAGAGCTGTCGAGGGCCGCGGCCAATCAGCCGGTGCTCCCGCATCGACGACTCGCGCCGACCTTAACGAGCCGGTCATTGCAATTAAGAAAAGTATTGCGCGCAATTGGAAGGGCGCTCGCGTGAGAGATGACACTCGGGACGCGCGCGACAATGCCGGAGACTCGCTCGCCGCCGGCGACGGCTTTCAGCGCTCGCCATCGACAGCGGCGGCGACGAGCAGCGCTCAGTCGCGCGAGAGCATGCCGTCGCACAGTGGGGCTGGATGACATTCTTTGGTTCAAAATTCTCTAGAGACCTGAATTTCCAACCGATCGCCGACACCAATGGATGAGGTTGATCCTGAATCAATTCCGAAGAGATCTGTCTTGCCAAAATTAAAAAAGAAATTTTTTTCTCGAATTATTAGCCCCAAAAGAGGAAGAATTATCGTTAAACGCGAGAAACTTGTGGAATACTCATTACTCGACACTTATTTCTATCTAATAGCGTATTCAGCGGATTGAAACTATGAAACCAATCAACAGGCACCTCGAGATTTATCGATCTTGAAGCAGAAACCCATTAACTCAAAATTCATATGCCCAAAATACAAAAGCATCAAATATAGACCCAAATATCAAATATAGACGTTAAGCACAAAACCGAGAGACTTTAATCCTTAATTCTTTCTTAATGTGGCTTGAAATGATGAGCTTTGAAATTCTGAGTTTTCTAAAAGGTGATTATAAGTTCTGGGGTTTCGAATTTAGTATCCATAGGCTCGAACCCAAGACACTGCACTTTAAACGATAAACTTCTAAGACAAACCCTAAATCCATGAACCCTGAACCAATAATTTTTTCAAAATTTCGGCTAGACAGATCTCTTTGGAATTTATTCAGGATCAACCTCATCCATTGGTGTCGACGATCGGTTGGAAATTCAGGTCTCTAGAGAATTTTGAATCAAAAAATGTCATCTGGCCCCACTGTGCGTCCCCCTTCTCATTCGCGTTCTCATTTGCGTGTCTGCCGGTTTCCCTAGCAGCGAAGTTCGACGCGAGTCCAGGGAATCCATCCGCTCTCCTCCGAAGGACCTTGCGATCTCTCCGAGGCTCGGCGACGTTCTCGACCGAGTGAGACAGGCGACGCAGGATCTCCGAAAAGAGGGGCAAAAGGCGCCGTTACCGCGACAGGACGAGGCCCAGAGGGAGGACTCGAGAAGAACTCGCTGTTATGATCAGAGTCCGTTGCAGCAGAAACGATCGCCGTTGCTGGAGGAAGTAGCCCGCAGACCGGAGGAGGATAGTCTGATCTGCAAGGAACACTCTCTCGAATACCAGAGTCAGACTCTCGAGAGCCAGTCGGACCACCTGTTCCATGAAGTGATTATATCGTCCTTGGAGGACCTACTACAGTCGGTGCCCGAGAGCTGGAGCCGCGAGGTCTACGAGGAGAGCGTCGAGGAGGTAGAGCACAGCTTCAAGGAGACGCAGTACTCGCCGAAGGAGAAGCGCGACGTACAGACGCAGACCGTTCAGGAGTCCAAGAGCACGCAGTGCAGTCCGGACCAGAGCGTGTCGAGTCCTTGCGAAGAGCCACCCCGGATCAGCCCCTTCCACGTCAGCCAGAGGTACTTCCAAAGTCCCAGGCGGGAGGTGCAGACGCAGACTCAAGGCGAGAACAAGAGCGTCCAATGTTGCTTGGACGACTTGGGGAGGCTCGATAATCTGTGGAGAGGCGACAGTCCGGCCAGGTCGGATCAGGCGCAAGAGTCGAAGAGTGTTCAGTGTGTGCCGGAGGATATCGTCAAGTCACCGGTGAAGTCGCGGTCTTCTTCACGGGAGGACTCGCTGCGCAGCCCACGGCGAGAGGTCGAGGTGCAGACCTACCAGGAGTCGAAGGCGATTCAATGCAGTGACGACGAGCTACTCGAGGCTGATCAGGCTAGTACCGATCGTCCAAGCACACAGCAGAGCAGACCGACCAGCTCGACGTCGAGGAAGACTGAGAGCTCGCCTTCGTCGAGCTCCAGCTCGCCGCGCAAGTTTCCTACGGTCGTCTTCGTGGAGGGCAAGAAGGACATGACTGTCACAAACAGGGAGCACGATGGCGACGTCACCTGGTCCAAACACTGGGGTCCCGAGAGACTGGTGGAGATCTACAGAGAGCCGAAGACCAGTCTGGGACTCAGCATCGTCGGCGGAAAGGTACGACGAAAGGTACTCTCTCATCTTCGTGTAGATATCTGTGAGAAATGTCCATTATCACGTAGCACAGCGAGGCGAAAATTGCGCGAGAGAGTCTCCCCTCTCAGCGCGTTTGCATTTTCCAATCGCGTGAGTCCTTCGATTTGTTATTCTGCGAGTCAGTTCGTCCGCGCATCTCTGTATGGGCGCTTGTGAAATTAATGCATGGTCGCGAGCGTCGGAGAGATGACACGAGGCAGATTGAGAGAGAGAGAGAGAGAGAGAGAGAGAGAGAGAGAGAGAGAGAGAGAGAGAGAGAGGGAGGGAGAAATCGCGCTTTTTCCAATATATTAAATGTATATTTGTGGAATTACATTGTCGCACGAGTATTGACGCAGTTCGCGGCCCGATATCACGCGGCAACGGCGGATATTAAAAGACACCAGACAGGACGGAATTATATTCTATTATTTTCGTAAATCCTCCCCCTCGCGCGCGATACGCGATCGATGCAGCGAATAATCCCGACGCAGCTTCTCACACGCTCGGTCAAGCCGCAGTTTTTCGTATCTCTTTTATTAGCACGCACGAATATAGACGCGCGGCCACCGCCGTTACGGGCGCGGTGAACGGAGGGGAGGGGGGCGAGAGAGAGATAGAAAGAGGTTTCGTCGATATTGCTCCGCTATTTTATAGCTCGCCTTTAAAATCGGGAGTGTTACGACGGCTATTGGAAACATTCGGACAGTGCCGGGAGAAGTAGGTCGGGCCAAATGGACGCCAGTCAGCCGGTGACTCGATCCATCCACCCATCTGTCTATCTCGCGCACGAAAGGGAGTGAGGGATGAGCCGTAACGCAATAATCCCGTCGAATAATTAATGACGTTCTAGCAAATAATAAATATATCGTTGTACACACACATATAAACGGCGTGACTCTGTCGGCGCCCTATCAAGCGCGCGCGCGCGCGCACGTGTAGGCGTTTTAATGGATTTGACGCGGAGCCGCGAATAAATTCGTCGTGATGCGAGAATTAAAAGGCTTTTAGTAATCGACGAGCGAACTATCGGAAACGTTAGCCGGCGGGATGGGATTTAATGGAATCAATTAACCTCTCGCGCGCGCGCGCGAGTGAACGCGCATGCGTGCGCGCGCTCGCACGCACGTGTACGATCCTCTCCGTCGCGACGGCTGCGTCCGGCTCGTCCGGGAAGATCTGCGATCCGCGGTGAGGTCTCGGGCAAGGTTTAACCACGTCGACGACTCGTCGTTCTCCCGCACTTCCCTCATCGGAACGGACGACCGAGCGAATTGCGACTACCGCGCGCGCGCGGCCAGACTGCGAAACGTCGACTCGCGATCCTAACGTCGTCCGACGTGACGTGAGCCGCGGCAGCGCACGGACGTCGCGCCGGTTAAGTGCATTAACTGCACGGGGGTAGTCTCCCTCCGACGTTAAGCCGACAAGGAAACTAGTAACTGGATCATTGGCTTTCGTCCCGACGACGCCGCGACTCGTCTCGAGAGTTCCTCTTCCTCTTCCTCCTCCTCCTCCTCCTCCTTTATCTCTGCGAGACCACCCCCGTTCTCTGCCACCCCCTCGAGACAAGACGACGCGCGTGCGAACCGAGTCGCCGTGTCGCGCGCGGGGCGCATCGGCTGCCGGCCGGAAACGTTAATTCTACGCTTGATTAAACTACAGACGTCGCGCGCGCGCGCGCGCGCGCACGTTTATGTACTGCCGCGTCGCGGCTAATTAACATTACGCACGCACGAGAATCATAATTCACCGATGAATAATGTAACATCGCCATGCACACGCGCGCGCGTAAGGTATACACGCGCGTGCACGACTCGTTGCTAATTAAACCGGACGCGTTTGTCCCTCCGCTCGGCGGGGGATGCAATCGATCATCCGATTATCGCACACCGGCCGCCGCCGAATTGCGGTGTTAAATAATCGCTTCAGTTCGGTTAGCGCGCGATGACGATCACGACAAACCAATGACGGATTAATGAGAATAAATGACCGGGGGAGCAAGCTGAGCCGAGGGAGGGCGGATCGACGGCGGCGGGGAGAATCGGAAATCACGAGGATCTGTCTCTCGAGAGCGGGGGGGCTTGGCTCCGCGGTGGCTTCGGTGTGGTCTCGCAGTTAACAGAGTTTCGGAGCAGCTGCTAGCGACATTGATTAAATTTAATTGCGAACTCGACTGCGGAATCGCCCGCGACCGCGGGGATCGACGCGCTTTCGCCGTGCCGGCACGCTGATCTGCGCGCAGGTATTAAACAACACGGACCGATTCCTTGTTCCAGGTCGATTTGCGCAACGGCGGCAGCAGTAACTCCCAGAACATCTCCGGGATATTTATAAAGAATGTCTTGCCGAACAGTCCGGCCGGGAGGACCGGCGGTCTCAAGGTAATTATAACAACAGGCGCATGGTCGTCGGTCGCGAACGTTCCGTTTGTCCATTTCGCTCGGCTTTTCCCTTTCGTCTCGTCTCTTTGCCTTCTTACACCTTCGAACCTCGTCCCGGGAATCAGCTGCCTCCCGTGCGTTGCGGAGTCTCACAGGTGCGCGGGAGTGCACGAGTGAGTGCAAAAGTTGTGACGAGTTTGTCAAAGCTGTCCGGCGCTTTTGATTCAATTTTGTGACAGCCTCATATATGTATGATGCACCGAGAAGATAACGATGGAAAGAATGCTCGGTGGGACAAGAGGGCAGATTATCTTGAATAAAATTACTTGTGTGATCCACATTTCTCTGTCCGGAACTTTTGCACTCATCCCGATACGCGCGGAGCGACGTAAACGGGAGGACGAGGGAGCTGCTTTTTCCGCATCTTCCTCGCGCGCCCTGGCGATTTCATCTCATTAGATATTTGCAGGCGGATGTATTTTAATTAAACTCCTGGCAAGTGAATTCGCGCGCTCACGCTTCTAGTCTCTCTCCCTCTGACCCTCTCACACATGTATGCGCGCGTGCTTTCAGATCGGAGATAGAATAATCGAGGTGGATGGTGTGAATCTACGGCAGAGCACGCACGAGCGCGCGGTGGAAGTGATTCAAGCCGCCGGAAATCCCGTCTGCCTCCTCGTCCAGTCGCTGGTGCATCTGGTGAGATTTAATGGCACACAGGAATATCGATGTTCCCCCCTCATCCGGTTCTTCGAACCCGATTGATCTCGCCGACCGACTGACGCGCGACGCTGCCACCGTCGGGTGTGCTCTCGTGCACCGTGGGGCTGACATTTATACGCCGTGCAGCGCTTATCCGGGCGTCTGTGCGGATTTACGGTAGAAAAATTTGTTGTTCCACTTGTAGTAGCTCGCAGCGTTTCCGCACGGTATCCCGGAGACACGGTATACCGTAAGCGCGCATGGCATGAGCGCGCTCTCGCGAATAGTGATATCCTCCGCGAAGAATTGTCTCTCCGTGCATCGCCGAGGGAATTTCTCTCTCGAATCGATTTCCCTTCTTCCCGTAGCACGCCGTTGACGCTTGCCCGCGACGCAACGCCAACGGCCAAAGGATGCGAGGGAGAACGTCGGCCGAATGCCGTCGGGGCCGAGCCGGTAGTCTCTGTTTCCTCGGCGCGACGACGAGAATCGCGCGACGTTTACGCGTGAAAAACGGGCCGCGCACGCACGTTGACGGGAAGAAATAGGGCCGCTCTTAGAACGCAGCCCGCCGCAATTCCGTAAATCTGCGTTGCACATCCATTAGAAGTAAGCTCCACGCTGGCGCATGAAAAAGTATCTACATTCCTGAGAGGAATAAATTTACGGCGGGGAGCGGGCGGAGGGGAGGAGAACAGGCAGAGTTAAACCTTTTACGACCCGCGGAAATTTACGACATTACTTTGCGCCAGCAAGTTTCGTAAGTTACACGTCGTTTTATAGTCTGCACGATTCTCCGCACCATTTATTTTTGTTATTTTCCTCCCCTCATTTTTTTTCTTTTGTTGCTGCTTCTCCGCCGATCTCCGCGCATCGGCCGATCTTCGTGCGGAGAAGGAGAAGTAAGTAATTCGGAACTATATTTAGATGCGCGCGGCGTATGCTCCCTTGGAGGGGAGCGGAATTCGTACCTTTCGATTGGCGCGGGCCTCATCGACATACAGTATTAATTGACAGTACCCGATGGTCGAAAAAAAAACGGTAAATTAAATCCGGAGGATTAAATGTGTCGCAGATGGTAATTAAAAATGGTTAAGGAGAGGGGAGAGAGAGAGAGAGAGAGAGAGAGAGAGAGAGAGAGAGAGAGAGAGAGAGAGAGAGAGAGAGAGAGAGAGAGAGAGAGAGAGCACCAATGCCAGTAAATACGTACTTGACCCTGAGCGTTCTCCTCTGGTCTTTAAATACGGATATTGAAACTTTCAGCAACGAACATATATATGTGTGTATGTATTCTATTTCGTGTTTAAAGGCCATGCCAATAAGAATGTCCAGAGTTAAGCGTGTGCTTCCACCTCAGTTATCTGATTCGCCGCAACGGCTCAGTTTCTATTTGGCGGGCGGACCCGCGGAAAATCTTGGTGAGATATTTTCGCGCGGAAGTTTCGACATCTTTCGGGCGTACGTGAATTCGGGCGAACTTCCGCGATCTACTTTTAATCTCACTCAGCCTCACTCACTTGCGCGAGCACTGCCCACGATTATTCGTCTTCCGGTCGTTTAACGAACGAACGGACGAACAAACGAACGAAACAAGCGCGCGCTCCGCCGTCCGTCGGGGGGGGATCTCGCGAATTCTCGTGTTAACGAGGTGACGCTCGTAAATCTGCGCCGTCGGGTTAACTCGATTTGCGAGGTGCGAAAGTTCTCGTGACTCGCAATTAACCCGCGCGCGCCTCCCGTATATATCGAATCGATCGATTTCGCATCCGCTAACCGGACGTTGCCGCCGTCGCCGTTGCCGTCGCCGTCGCCGTCGTCGTCGCCGTCGTCGTCGAGTCTAATGCAGAGCGAAATTGAACTCCGAGCGATGTCACCGAATAGCGGGCGGCCTTCGGCGTCCCGCCGTTTAACGTCGCCCATCTCCGAAAACCATCGCCGATCGAGACATTACGCGAGATTGGATGCAGCGCGTCGTGACGTTCGTATGACGGAGACCGGCAGAGACCTCGCGAGGTCTGCCAAGCGCGAGTTGTTCTGCCGTACGGTGGCTTTCTATTATAGCACATGCGAATTTTTGAATCACTGCATTCCTTGCGACGAAATCTCGAGCAACAAGCGAAAAGAACCACCGCAAAAAGTATCCGTTTTTCAATCCCCGAATTTTAAGTTAAATTTTATGCTTATTAAGATAGTTCATGATGAGACATTAATCACAAAAAAGTTTTACATTGAGCATACGATTGGTTTCAGAGATGTAGAGGGTCAAAATGGTCATTACCTACTAAGGAAGTTTGACACTAATAATGTTTTATCGCACGAATTTTTGCGAAATTCAGCATCTATGGGTTCTTTGAGTTGCTTATTACGAATTCGATGTCAGATTTAAAAAATTCAAGGTGGCGGATGTAATATAGCGGACACAAATAGTGAAACAATTATTTACTTTTACTAGAATTGTTATGTTATGGTTTTTTCGGCTAGCTGATTGCAAATTTTCTATCAGATTTACATTTACCTTCTGTGTAGGCAAGATGAAAAAGTTATCCAGCCAATGAAGGCAAGATAAAAATGTTATCCAGCCAGTGAAGGCAGGATGAAAAAGTTACCCAGCCAATGAAGGCAAGATAAGCTTCTAAATATAACAAATAAAACTATCACGTTATCCTTTATGCGTTATGTAACGTATCAATTCGAATTTGATATTTTTTTATGAAAAAACAATAAAAAATATACTTTTTCCACTCAAAAATTGTCGTTTGTCAAAAATTACTTTCGAAAACTTAATAGAAAATTCGCAATGAGCTAGCCAAAAAAACTACAACATAATAGTTCCAATAAAAATAAATGATTGTTTCACTATGTGTGTCCGCCATGTTGCACCTGCCATCTTGAATTTTTTAAATCTGACATCAGATTCATAATCAGCAACTCAAAGAACTCATAGATACCGAATTTTGCAAAAATTCGTGCGATAAAGCGTTATTAGTGTCATACTTTCTTAGTAGGTAGTGATCACTTTGATCCTCTACGTCTTTGAAACCAATCGTATGCTCAACGTAAAACTTTTCTGTAATTAATGTCTCATCATGAACTATCTTTTGGCATAAAATACGATTCCAAAATCGAGGACCGAAAAAATCGAGGCAAAAAATCGACCCTTCTTGCGGAGGTTCTTTACTCGAGACGATAGCAAAGACGCGATATTTCCTCGCTTACTTAGAGTTGATTTGTTTCTGCGAGAAAAAGAGAGAGCTTGAGATTTTATCCCATATGGAAGGTATTCATTCCGTATGAGCGAGGAGTCGCTGGAATTCGAGCGACTTGGCTACCTTTCGAGCGAAATTTCACTTGGAGAAATTGAGAGAGTATACGAACTCGGAGACGTGCCGCATCGTATGCTCTACGGAGTTTCTTGCCGTGTTCTCAAATGCACACAATGTGACGCAACGCGACGCGACACGACACGATGTTACGTGGCGTCGATGTAAATTCAACATCGACATCTTCTTATGTGCCGTGTTCTTGCGCTCTGGGCAATCGCTCCAGGCGTGAATGCGCACTTGGTCGTCGCCATAGTGGCGAACCATAAATTCGCGGCGTTCGTTTCAGGCGCGCTCGAACGAGCTCGTAATCTTGACGATGAAATTTATTGCGACTCGCTCGAACCTCGACGGCTCCTCGCGAGTCGACGATTGAAAAGCGCCAAGTAAGAATTACCGTTTAATAGACACGTCGTTGAGTAACCGGTCGATGACGCCCGACATTCGCCTTCACGGCCGCGTGGGGAGGCGCGTTTTATTCGGAGGCATGGTACCAGACAGGTGCAGCTTATCTTCCGGTACACCTTGAGATCAGCTTGAACGTGGAAGTGCAAAGCAGCTGAGTTTATCTTTCTTTTTTTGTCTCGCCGGTAAAATCAAGTGCCGTACGTGTCAAGTATGACGACATCTGTTCGTCGCGGCGCTGCCGAGCCGGCGCGACCTATAAGCGGCCGCTTCGAAAATGACATCAAGTTCTTCCCAATTTCAATCGGCCGTGCGCGCATGTTCTCTCGGAGCGGGGAGTTGATACGGGGAGAATGCAATGTCGAGATACATATAAACGGCGGTCATGAACAACGGATTGAAGAACACGGGGGAGAGAAAAGGAGGGAGGAAGAGAGAGAGAGAGAGAGAGAGAGAGAGAGAGAGAGAGAGAGAAGGAGGAAGGGAATCGAAGCTGCGAAAGAATAGAACGAGAAGAGGACAAAGAGAAGAGCGGGACGGACAGGAAGAAGAAGAGAGAGAGGGAGGAGGGAGGAAGAGAACATCAAGAGAGAGCCATTATCGGCGAACAGCTCTTGTGCGCGTACGATGCACCGAGGTCGAACTTTCCAATAAAACTGCACGAGGAAGGGTGACGAGGGCAAGCCGCACAGAGCTAACAATGAAGAGAGAAAGAGAGAGAGAGAGAGAGAGAGAGAGAGGAAGAGGGGGGTGAAGAAGAGGGAGAGACAGAGTTAGTCGACGATAGAGATATGTAAGGTTGGAACTAGCTAGAGAGAGTGAGGAAGGGAGAGAGAGAGGGAAAGAGAAAGAGAGAACGAGAGAGAGAGAGAGAGAGAGAGAGAGAGAGAGAGAGAGAGAGAGAGAGAGAGAAAGAGACGAGAAATGGGAGGATGGGTAGCAAAGACGCATTCAGGCAACGGCGAAGTCGGTGGTCCATCGTTGCATTAGAAGACGGAAGTTCCTCGTCGGCCATCGATTAAACGGTAGAACAGTCGAGCAACGATTTCTCACACCACCTGGTGTGACCTCGTCGACTAAATCTCCCGTCGCATTTCCTGAATCCTGAATCGCGGAGAATCGAGTTCGAGGAAAATGCCTCAAATTCGCGATTGGGCATCAATCCCTCGATACAGAATCGAGGTCACCCTCCGCCGATGTGTCTCGAAGGACGATCGACAAGTAAGAGGAACCGCTTTCAGCCGTTTAGTGGAAACGATTTTCCTCCGTTGCTGAGGGCGCTTTTAAACCAGATCGTCGGGGTGGTAGGCATCGCGCGGACGAAGGGAGGAGGTATCTCGCTCTCGTGGGCGCCAGCGAGTCAGGGGATGATGCGGTTCACCGGAAAGAGCAAGTCCTCGTTGTTGCGACCGAGCGCCCATCATCGACACCATGGACCATCGACGAGCCCACCTCTCCTCGGCCGATTCACCCCCGTATGAACAACGTCAACCCCCTTCGCCCTCTCTCTCTCTCTCTCTCTCTCTCTCTCTCTCTCTCTCTCTTGCTCTCTCGCTCTCTCTTTGTCTCTCTTTCTCTGTTTCTCTCTCCCGGCCTCGCGGACACCTCAGTTTCATGCACGAAACTGCCTGGTCGACGTTCACCTCATGTCACCCGGCTCAGTCGTCAGCGATGCATCGACTCTTCGGCCGCAAATGCGTCACCTTCGTCGTACGTTCTCGCCAAATTGCCGGCCGTTCCGACATCGAGACTCCGCGACCCCTCAGCCGAGCCGACGAGTCGTCCTCGAGGACATATCGAGGATGCCTCTTGAGCTCTCGTCGGCACATCGCAAGATCTATGTCGCACGTCTATGTCGGCGAGTGACGTGTACGGAAATTGAGGACTCGTCTTCGTTGTAACTGTGAAACCGAGCTTGCCTTGTGACAGTTCTCTCTTTCTTCTTTCTTCTCATCGGTTACTCCTATTTTCGTTTCTTTTATTTTTTCTCTATTTTTTTATATTATACGTTCACAAGTGAATGCTCCAGCACGCTTCGTCGAGCACCGAGGACGGCGCAGCCGCCAATTTGTGTTGCGATTGGTGATCGCTTTTATTGAGAGAAAAACGCCTAGACACATCTTGTCGCTCGTGCAGTTCGAAAATTCATTGTGGCTCACGTGAGGTTGCACCGACGTATTATGCCGCAGTAACATCATGGCAGCGAAGTAACGCCGCGAAAGCACAAACGCATGTCACGTGTGTGCTTTCGCTACTCGCGCTGATAAGCGAGAAAATATCAAAATCAACGAACATTCCGCGACTGACGAGAGTTAAGCTGTCGATCGATGCTGCATTTGTTCGTTTGGACTTTTGTTCGATTCGCTATGTTCAGTCATTTATATTCGGCTTTTAATTATCGCCGGGCGATCGCTCAAAGCGATATCATCGATGTTCGTCTCAGACAATTAAGCGGGAGGATTCAATTAATTAATGAACGCGCGCCGCGCACGCCGATTGTTTACATCGCCGTTGGAAAACGATAGATATGTGCCGGCGATGTCGCTTAGCGGACGAATACGATCAATCGCGGCGCGTTTTTACGCGGTCGATAAAAGTTCGCCGCGCGTTAAATTTCGTTTGCGCATCGAGTTTATCAAAAACATATATGCAATTTCTCCCGGTCTCTCTCTCTCTCTCTCTCTCTCTCTCTCTCTCTCTCTCTCTCTCTGCATTTGCCCAGCAAGATACGCGCACTGCAAGCTTCACGTCCGCATATTTCCATTAATTATATTTCGCAAAGTGCACATATTAAAAGAGCTTCTCGTTCAAAGGATGTATAAATAACGAACTGAAATCAGAGAGGGGGAGATGATATCAGGGAAATGAAGAAATTAAATGGAATAATTATTATTATTCCAAGTCTCCTCAGATTTCCAATTACGGGGTACGTTATCAGGCCTGTGCGAGGAGGGAGTCGATGCAGCTTATTGCTGCGAATACATTTTTTTATCAAAAGCCAGAAGATAAAATTATTCGACAATGCAACGCCCATCCCGAGGGGATCTTGGACTTTCGATGTGCAATCGATTTAGCAAAGCGATTTAGACGTATTGTATTTTTTCTTTTTTACTTAACTATACTAATATAGAAGTAATATAGTGTAATATAGAAGAAAATCTAAGCAAACTGGATTGAGGGCTGGTCAATGTCTCGCAGTCTTCGATCGACTCGCACCGCCAAACGCGACATCACTTTGGGACAATCGATTTCCCGCCACGATAATATTCTCGTATAAAGGGACTCTGAGGTGACGGAGAAGGATAGGGAGGACGAAGAGAACGCGTCGGGACGCATCGCGTCGGTCGGTCGGTCGGACGGTTTCTAACGCGTTACGGAATTAAATTCGCCCGATTGCCGTTACCTTTGGCAACAATTCAAGACACGCGAACAAATATTTCCAATCGCTATAGTAATTCATCTCGCGCCGGTTTATCCAGCCGGCCTGGCCGCGAGTTTACTTCATTGCTTCGAGATAAGTATAGACCTACGAATCTAATTTGCGAACTTCGGTATCGCCATATGTAGAGTCCGGAGCACGGCGGCGGCGCGGCCCAGGAGGAGAAAGCCGGCCGGAAGAGTCACACGTCCGCTTCCAGTATCAGCCCCGGGACGCCAACGGCCTCTTTCCGCCATAAACCATCGCCGATCTCGCCAGCGAGGTCCATCACGCCGGAAGTGATACAGGTCGGTCGTAGACTTCTTACGTAGACGTAGCGGTAGCTCGATACCTTATCGATTCCGCGCGAGGAAAAGCGGCTCGCGCGCTGCAGAGGACTCGCTCGCGAGACGTCTTCCAGTGAAGTCTCACTCCGCGGTGTGAATTCCCCGTTCCGAGAGCGTCGAGCGAATATTTTTGCACGAAACCGCGCAGCGTACCTCGTCGTCTCGCGCGAGCAGATTTACTCTAATCGGCTGAAGCACTCACTCACGCGGACTATGGATCCATCTTGAGAGCTGTAGTTGAACATTCGCACTCTTGAGATTCCGGTAGTATCTTTGTTGTCACTTGGAGTGAATTTCCGCTCGTTCCGCCGCACTTCTCTCGAAGAAATTTCGAGAATACCCTCCGCAGCTTCCCCCGAGCGTAATTCCACTCGAGAGAGGCGGAGTGACAGCGGAGTCACTCGAGCGCGAGTGACTTTCCGCTTTCCGCTCGGTTCTGAATCGTTGAGCGAAGATTTTCTCTCGAAATCGCAGATGCGCTCGGCCGCGTCGTCTCGCGGAGATCTCGCTTCAAGAAATTTAGACAGCATCGCGCGACTCGCGTCCTCCTCTTCGATCTTGTCGCTCGCAAGCACCGACCGAGGCCGAGGAACAAGCGCAACTACCGCGACTTTGGCTAATTGCTAAATGGAGGGGAAAAGCGACACGTTGGTCGGACGGGCTTTTGAGGTTTCGCGCTAATTAATTTCTTTAATTGAATCGCCGCGCTGTAACTTTCGCGCGACAGCGACATGTATCTCTATTCTAATTAAACGACCAGAGGCTATGCATGCGCGCGCGCTCACGATTGCACTCGCTACACGTGTAAACTCGAGACTCGCGCGACCCGCCGTAATTAACTCGCGCACTCCAGCGACGCTCGCATTTCTCGCAAAGAACAAATTCTTTTGTCGCTTTCACGGCACTTCGACCCCAGCTGTGCATTCAGGCGGCTCCTCCAGAGAGTCACGTCCTCGTGATATTCTCTCCAAATACGACGTCCTTCAGGATGCCGCAGAGGTACAAGATTCGAATTCTGTCGGAAATAACAGATGCCGAGAGACCCGCTAGGTCGCTTTCCTCCCGAACATCCTCTCCGAATTCTCCCTGCGAATCTATCGAGCGCAGCCGGCGCCACGCTTCCGATTCGCAGGGGAGTTTTGTTGCTCCGCTTTTGTTGAGACTGTCAATCCATTTGTTGCGTAGCCAGGACTCGAGGACGGCAACGCTCCGGGCGTCACGCGCGACGACTTCCGCAAGCAAAGCTCGAAGAGATCGGATGGCTCAGTTCCCAGCTCGCGAAGGTACGACATGAATTATAATCCGTCGCTTCCGCCGCGTTCGCGCCTCGTCTTCGACTAGCGAAGACTCTCGCGTGTCATTCGCGCTCGTCGCTCGAATCATCTCGCCGAGTGACGAACGTCTTCCTTGCCCGCGCCAGATCCTCCATGAAGAAGTCAATTCGCAAACCGGCCGTGGCGTCTCCCGCGAACTCGGACATCCTCCGCGAGGTCAGCGAGGAGCGGGAGGGTCATGCAACCGGCGCGGAACCACCCACCAAATCCACCAAGTATTCCTCGGATGAGAGCTCGGATGAGGACGAGGAGGACACTCGCATGCTCGAGGGGAACGTGTACACGAAGAGCGGTGTCGAGGTATGTATGATTGAACGCGTCGATCACACTTGGATCGCGGCTGTCTCTCTCGTGCGTCATTGAGAACACTGCTTGTCCAGATCTCGAGGAAGAGCGCCGGGAACGTGAAGCGCACCAAGGCGGAGATCGACGCGGATCCCGAGCCGGAGGATGAGTTCGGCTATACAGCCAGTGAGTGACTCGCGACCCTTTTGCTCTTCACCTCGAGTGTCTCTCGGTCAGATCGGCCATCGACCTGCGGTCTTGTTCCGGATACATGTTTCACGTGAAACGGAGTAATCTGATTCTTGGTTCCACTCGCTCTTACCTTCTCTCTTTGCATGGAAGTCTACGCGTGTAAAAGTGTAATGTTGTATCAGCTGGAGAATCGGAAAAGCATATTTAGCTCTCAATGGGGGAAAGTGAGTAAAGTTGCTTCAGGGTCCCGCGGAGGCCATGTGTTCCGTTCGTATATATATTTATCGTGAGAAGAACAGAGTGGAAACCGAACCGTAGATGTTCCTTCGAGAATATCGTCAAACTACCCATGTTGACGATGACGTAAAAAATAAGTATTTACAACTGCGTTGATGACATGAAAGTATTTGTGGGCGACATAGTAGCGTAAAAACGTCACACGTGAACGTCTCCTTGATCTTGCAGTGAAGATACAGAAAAAATATCAGAATCTAGGGCACCGAGTGTTGATGGTTATCCTGGAGAAGGATAGGCGAGGACTAGGCATCTCCTTGGCCGGGCACAAGGACAGAAACCGAATGGCGGTGTTCGTTTGCGGCCTGAACCCAAAGGGTGCGGCTCACAAGAACGGCGGGCTTCTCATCGGCGACGAGATATTGGAGGTGAGTCCCCGTCTCCGCTCTCTTCCTTCTCTTTTACGATCCGCCATTTAACCACGAGCACGTCGGTGCGGTCCGTGTTCTCGTTTACCTCGTTCCGGCTGTTTAACCTTCGATTCGCACGTCGTTTAATCCGTTTACCTCGTCTGCCGCGATGAGAGAGAAGGGTGGAACGAGCGTTTGCGGGTTTTCCCAGGGAAAACGACGCACTGGCCGTTTACTCGCGACCTGTACTTACGAAGCTGCAAAGTCGTAGCGCGCTTATTACATTGTGGAGAGAGATAATAAGAATAGAAATGAAAAGTAAGGAACTGGGCGAGACACATCTTTTGCATTTTGCTGCAGAGGTAGCCTTCGTACTTGAACATAAAAAATTCGGGAAATGAAAACATTAGAAGATATTAGAATATTTATAAGTAATCAAGTATATATACAAGACTTATTCTCGTCAGTTTCATGCAACTGTGCGGTATATAAAGTGTATTTTCTTATCGTATTGTTTGTGTGTGTGTGTGTGTGTGTGTGTGTGTGTGTATATAAATAAAAATATTCAACTTGTTACATCATTGATTGAAACGTGAAAACTTTATAGACTTTTAAATGTTTTACTTGGGGATACTTGATTACTTATGAATTCCCCTAACACATTCGTACGGAAAATACAAGTCTATTCGTCAGTTCGAGCTTCACGAGCTGTGACAGTCACGGTTACACCGTTTCACGAAACTTCATCTCTCAGCTCAACTCGTTAAGTGGTGAAAACGAAAACTCCCCGTTTCTGTGCCATCAGGTGAACGGTTGCGTGTTGCAAGGACGCTGTCATTTGAACGCTTCCGCCCTCATCAAAGGCATGATCGGCACTTGCTTCAAGATCATCGTTTACCGGTGAGCATTGTAGAGTCTCTCTCTCTCTCTCTCTCTCTCTCTCTCTTCTCTTCTTTTTCGTTCAGTGCAGCGAAGTACACGTGTAACAACGTGACGCGCCTGACAAAATTCATTGAAACGTATAAACAAATAAATTTCGTTTGCTGCCGGTTGCAGGAGATTGAAGGCTGTCGACGACATCGCTGTGAAGCCGATAGTTCAATTCCCACCGACCTTGGATGACGTAAGTCCACATTCTACGGCGCTTCCGTCTTCTGATCATCGTAATCCTCGCACCTGTCTTGCAAATAACGCGAGACCGGTCTAGCAATTTTCGTAGAATCACGGGAATCATCGGCCGACGTCATTAACGTGACCGCGTACAGCGGTCGTATATCGCGCGATTCAGCGACGGTAGAGATGCGTTATGTTATTACGTAATCTCGTTTTAACAAAGCCACACGCGCGACCACGATTATAAGCACGCTCTCGCACTGCAGGATGCGAATGCATGCGTGTATCATTATATCGCCGACGCAAAGTGATACGCGATATCTCGTGTTTCAGGCCGATCAATTCAGCCAGTACAAGGGAGTCCGCAATCTGCCAGTGAAGAAGGCAAGTGCAAGTCCGCGACGCTCGCGAGGCTCGAAGTCGAGTCGGCTTCTCCCGCGCGACGCGTCTATTATTTGTCACATCCGATATATCTCTCGCGTCTCTCGATTATCATCGACACTAATTGCCGATCGATTTCTCTGTCCCTCTCTTGCCCGTAGGGTCAATACGGCCTCGGCATCATGATCATCGAAGGGAAGCACGCGGAAGTGGGGCAGGGCATCTTCGTGTCCGACATTCAAGAGGGTAGCGCCGCTGAACAGGTAATTTTCGTTCGGGATATGAATATCGGGATTGCATTAAGGAAAGCCGCATCCTTTATAATATATATATATATATATATATATGCGACTTTGCAGGCTGGATTACAAGTGGGCGATATGATTCTGGCGGTTAACATGGATAGCTTGGCCGGCTGCACGTACGATGAGGTAAGTCCGTTTTTCTTCTTCGTTTCCTCCCTCGTGACGAGTTTTCTCGTCTTCCCGCGGGGAATTCGACTGGATTTTTATATCCGCTTATACAGCGATAGATAGAACTCTGTCGATTCTGCACGTCATAACTTTCCTCAGTACTTTCATGTTGATATATTCGCGGTAGAAATCTCAGTTGTCCTTAAAAGTGAAAAGAAAAGAAATTTGACGAAGGATCGACGGAGTTCTGTTTGCCGCTGTCTAGACACATAATGAGAATCCAGGCTTATTCAGACGTTGAGTGTTAATTTGACATTGATTTCTCTCAGGCGACGTCGTTGCTGAAGAAAGCGGAGGGCGTCGTGACGTTGACGGTGTGTAATCCGAACCAGAGCAAACTGGAGCAGGAGCAGAAGGATAAGAGCAAGGACAAGGACAAGGGGAAGGTTAGTGGCGTCGCTGCGCCTTCTTCAGCCGCAGCTACGGAAAAGACGCCGCAGAAGAGCGCACCGGGTAAGTTCGACAATGCGATCAATGTTTCATGTTCATCCGCAATCATCCGCATTTCATTGACACGACTATGATCTTGTTAATGATCCATATGGTGTTCGATTTTTCGCAGCAGCAGCTGCCAAAGAGCCGGAAAAACCTGCGGCGCCGCAGGATCCGAAGGACTGCAAAATAACGGTAGGCTCGGAAACGACGATAGAATTCCAGAAGGAGAAGGACAAAGGAATAGGCTTGACCATCGCCGGCGGCTCAGACACCCCGATGGTGAGCATGACACTCGTAATTTTTTAAATTACAGTGAAGTCTTTCTCCACTTCAAGCGACTCGGCTGTCACTTTATTTCTCGAGTAGAATTTCACTCAAAAAAAAATTTAGAGACATTTCACATTGTAATTAATTAATAGATTTATTTAGTGTATTCCATCTTGTAAGTAATTCGAATTTATTTAATATATGTCACTTTGTGATTAATTAGAATTTAATTATTTACAATTCTGATGCGAAATATGTAGTTTTTTTATATCGTTAAAGAGGGCAGACTTTGAGTGGAGTTACATTCGATGAAATTTACATTACGCATAGTAATTATAATTATAAATATTATAATTAATTAAGATTTACTTAGTATATTTCCTTTTGTAATTAATTAGAATTTATCTGATAATTTTGGTGGGAGAAAATGTAACTTTTTAGATTGTTAAAGGGAACAATTTTAATATGTAAATATTGTATCCCGAATGATTCCTTTTTTTAGAACGGGGTCTTCATTTTGGAAGTGTCTCCCGATAGTGCAGCTGGAAAAGATGGTCGACTGCAGGCCGGCGATCAGATACTGAACGTGTGCAACGAGAATTTTAAGCAAATTGAGCACGAAAAAGCCCACGTAGCACTTTTGAAGGCTTCTTTGAGTGGAACTGTACGTAGCATTTTTCTATCGAAAAACACCTTTCACCGAAAAACGTCATTTCCCATTCGCTCGTTACCGTCCGATTGGATCTCCACATATAAATAAACGCAGACATCTTAGGCCCATATTTATTCTTGTAATCGTTACTTTGTCACTTACTAGAAATATTCATATTTAAGTTTTATCAGTTGAATCAAAGAGACTCCAATAACGAATCGTTGAACAGATTTGCACTTTTGCGAGAGCGATGGCATCTCGTTTTTAGTAGCGAGGAAGAAATGACGTAGAATCGTTCACGATATCATTTGGAAGAACAGCGCTACCCGCAACGCCTTCTAATATTTTCTACGACGAGTCCGTTCGGTCGATTGAGCAAACGTGTCGTCGTCAATGGTCCATTTGTTCGTTCGCAGATCACAATGACGGTATTGCGCCACGAGAAGCCAGCCGACGAGATCGATGTCGAGCTGCAGAAAAAGCCCGGCAAAGGAGCCGGTTTCTGTATGCGTGGCTTCGTGAGCGGCAAGGGAGCCTACGTGTGGGACCTGGTGAGTATGTTTGCGATTCTACATGTTGTTGAAACATAATTTCGCAACGCGCTTTCATCATCCATTGATCCACTCCTTCATCTAGTTACCAGCCAGCAGCGCCCTCGAAAGCGGCAAGATCTGCAAAGGCGACCGCATCCTGGCGATCTGCGGGCAAGACGTTCGCGAGGCTCCCGTGGACGATATCGCCGTTTACATGAAGACATCCAACCCGCTGCAACTAAAGCTGGCCAGGTACAAATCCGCCAAACAATGACAGGTAAGCTCGACGAGTTATTCCTTCAAGACGAGAATTAAACAGTTTACTTTTGAATTCGCATATATTTTTTTACAAATGCATAATTTAAAATATAATATTTAGTACATATTTAATTTTTAACGATATTACTGTATGCTAAGTATACACCAAGTGCGTAACGAGACCCTTCACAGTTCCTTGCAATTTACATATTGTCTCAAATATTCATTTTGTTCTCACAAATGCAAAGGGTTCTTCTCGACTTGATACAGCTTCATGATCGAAGCGGATGTTCGATGACCCGTTCGAAGATCCGTTTCCGCCGATGTGAGCACAATTGCGGGTTGAATCGAATCCTTCGCTTTCCAGGGTTCTGCGGGTGGAACTCTCGACACGCGTCCCGACGTACGGAGAAACACCTACAGACACTGTGGATTCTAGTGTGATATATAAATGAAGTAACGTTTTAACCATAAGTACTTTTGTTACGAGAGTCGCGTCATCATTGTCGCGACTCGCCCTACTAGAGTTACACGTCAACATCGTCGATCGATCTTGCCGTTTCGCGCAGCGACCGAGTCGCCGTGCGTCACCGAGGAGCTACCTAGAGGAAGAAGAGGAACAGGACATAAAGGAAATGCATGTGCACGGACTCGAAGTGTCGGATGGTGAAACAGAAAAAAGGGAGGAACTTTTCTAGCCACCTTGCAGAGAAAAAAGCGAAAATTCGCCGGGCAGCCTGGACCTCAGCCAATCGACGTCAACCGGCGGCCGTCGATCAAGTTCGCAAACGATTCCGTCTGCCGACGCGCTCACGCTCGCACACAAGTGTAGCCGATCATGCGGCTCAGATCTCATTACACACATGGCGTAGTGTGTTTGCGTAACGAGCAGGTCTGAGTGTCACGCGATCGCGCGAGCTAATTGTCATCGTTATCGCCGGTCACTTGTACACACGCATACATACATAAATATGTACACACACACACACACACACACACATGAGCTCGTCGTCGTCTCGTTCGTGACGGATAAGTAGGACAGGTAACAATCGATAATAACGTCTGGTCCGCATCAAGACGTGCGGGTGATGCTCGCAACCGAGGGGAAAGGCCGCGCGATCACTCGATCATCTATGTTCTCTTCTCTTCGGAGACACGTCGCCCTCCTTGCATCTTGATACAAAAATCGAACGAGGAAGCATACGAAAAATATAAAAAAAGACATTGCTTGGTACGTTTCATATTACACATCGCATATACTTAAGAGACAGTTAAATCTTAGGAGCGACTGTAGAGCGTGCGTTCTCGATCCGCCAAGGACGAAAGCGTTTTTACCAGAGGACAAGATAAAACAAGACAAGACTCTAGTCCCGCCCCGAGGCCGGCGTTTCGGCGTGTCTTCGCCTTAATCGAATCCGCATTCGCGTCGCGACCGTATCCGCAACCGCCGTAGCCGATATAAACGCATTATTGTCCCTCATAATTGTATTTTTCAATATTACTAACAATAAGCGAGAACGCGCGGACGCGCGCGATGCTCGAGCTGCGCCGAGAAGTGTCACCCGTTCTTCTTCTCTTCGAGGTAAAAAGGAGAGAAAAAGGAAGACGATCGGAAGAAGTCGCCGCGATGTCGGCCGAGTCCGTTCGTCCGAGGACGAGGAGAGGCGCAACTTTTCCTAACTTGTAGCTTCGTACGTGAACCGACGGACGCATGAATCCATGGCGATTTAAACATTCGAATGACGCGGATTTGGTACGAATTACCCGTCGCCATTCGCAAGTGACGACGATGCGACTGACAAAGGCGCAGCTCGTATATCGGCCGTCGTGCTTATCGCGGATAAATAGAATACAGCCTAAGGGTCATTAGAGGTATCATCCTTCGTGCGTAGTTTGAACGAACGTATGAACGAACGGGTGAACGAACGAACGAACGAATGAGGAGCGGTCGCGGCAAACGTCGAAACGCCGATCGAGAGGTCATCGTTTAGTAGTAAGTGCTCCGGAGACGTGCGCTCGAGATTATCCTCTCGCGGTCTCACCGCACCGTGACATGTTTCCAACACCAAACGGCGAGTCATCCCGAGTGTTCAAGCGTATCTTCATGCTTTGACGATCGTCAACGGCAGATGAGAAAGCTAGACTGGCTTGTTGAGAGTACACATTTAGTTACAGTTAATGCTATTATTAACTAGTCCTTAGCTTAGAAATTTTCAGGGTGAACGAGAGAGAGAGAGGGTGTGAGAGAAAACAAAGGAGGAAGTGATGACACAAACACACCCAGAACACACAGAGAGAAATTATATATATAAATAAGAATATATTATATATAAGAGTATAGATATATGAAGATATAGATATAAATTATGCAGAGTCTATAATAGTAAAAAGTCGCGGAGCATGTTTATTTGACGAGTCATTGGTATCTCCATCGTGTGACTGATGTTCTATACGTTCTCATGGGACGTTTTGCATTCGAATTTCCCATAGTTTTATTGTAGCGAGGAAACGAAAAAAAGAAAAAAAGAGAGGAAGAAAGAGAGACGTAAAAGTACGTACACGCGTCTGTAGCATTTGTAGCCGCGTGAATGAGCGGAAAACTCGTTCTCCAGTTGGCGCCTGCGAAAATCGCCTGTCCGTCGTATCTGTCGTCGTCGAGTTCAAAGCTGCGCCTCGATCGTTATTTCGAAATGTCCGCTATCAGATTTCTGATAGCTTGGAACCCGATATTCGCCCCCAGCGCACGGAGTCGCCTCTCGAGAGATCCTCGAGCCACGGGAGATCCTCTCTATCTGTTTCTGTCCTTCTCTCTTTCTCTCTCTCTGACTCTCGCTAGCGATGGCGCCGGAAATATGATCGTTCATAGAAGCGCATCGTTGTTTACAGTAAACGGAAAATAATGACTGAAAGGGCGATAATGTTACACACCACTCAACCGGTAGAGCCGATTTCATCCGCAATCCTGATTCAGTCGCCGTTTGCGAGAAAGAGAGAGAGAGAGAGAGAGAGAGAGAGAGAGGGGGAAAAGAGGAGGAGGAAGAGAGGAACTATCTCGGATTGCAATCGTGTTGATCAAATAATGCAAAGTCGTGTGATCGAAACGCTTCTTTGAGGTCGAGTATGTACGTTGAACGCGGATTATCGCGCGCGCGCGCGCGCGAGACTATCTGCACTCGATCCTTCATAGTTACAGTTCTGTTCACATATACATATTATACAATTATTGATAGCGTTATTGCACAGGAGCATGCGATTGTAAATTGGCTCGCATGGCGACTCGCGATGGAACGTCCATCGTGAGCGCGAAATAGGACTTGGAGATGGGCGACTGTTCTTGTATATACAGGGTGTCTTATAACAAATCTGGCAGAGCTCGTGGAGACATAGAGCGGGTTAAGACAAATATAAAAGTCCCATACCGTTTTGTGAGATTCACAATAATTATCGAGTTATTAATGACAGAAATCTGAGGAATGAGCGCGCGCCGAGACGTTATGGGAGGAGCATCTAGCCGCTCAGGCTAGAGAGCACTGCCCAGCAGTGATGCATATTAGGGACCTCAGCTGGCCCAGTCGACAAAGGAACTGTTGCCGGCGCGCGGCGAGAGGTGGGACAACGTGCCAATGTTTATGTCTTTACTTCGCCGCTCCTACATCCCGCCGCACCGCGTCTAAGCTCGCGCCGATATGGCCGTTGAATATTCGCGATTACAATTACGAGATTATTTTATGAGGTATCACAGATAGCTCATATTGAATTGTAAATTGTAAAGTTCAAGGTTCAAAAGTTCTTTGATCAAGGAAAACATCGAAAAGAAAAAAGTGATAGAGAGCGGTGAGATCTACAGAGATTCTCATTGTTTTCTATCGCAATCTATCTATTTGCTGCATCGGATCCGAAAGAAATGATATCGCGTAAAGGTAGAGTACGATGAACACTTTTCATCATATTCTATAGTACTCTATCGTTAGGAGAATATTTAATTGAGTATTAGTGTATGGTAGAATTCGCGTAGAGACTCATCGTGTCCTATCGTTTTATTCAAGTCTACACGGCAAATATGTTTGGTTGAGTGAACCAATTTTCTGACGAAATGAGAGAGAGAAAGAGAGAACGATTAAGAAATTTTGATTGAGAATAGCACAATTTTGTTTAAGTTAACCATAAACCTTGATAAATTAGATTGAGTGTTAATATTTTCAGTTAATATTTCTCTGTATCGTTCATATTTCATTTGCAAGCTGTATCATGGACCAAACATTTTTACCATATATCACGCATAAATTGTTGTTTTATATCGTAATTCTTGTCAATGGTATATTAACGACAGAAGAAACTGAAAGTTCTGTATCGTACAATTGCGAAAAGAGGACCATCGTTGTCAATGGTGCACCAACGATACTCGGCATAAAATTGATTCCTAGGTATAATCGCGATACAACGCAACAAATCCGAGTGTGTTATTTTGACATGCATAAATGTATGATTGATTGACGCTTTCTTTACACGTTTCTTGTCGTCAGAAAATTGGTTCATTCAACCAAACATATTTTCCGTGTAGACTTGAATAAAATAGGATAGGACACAATGAGTCTCTATGCGAATTCTATCATACTCTAATACTCAATTAAATATTCTCCTAACGATAGAGTACAATAGGATACGATGAAAAGTGTTCATCGTACTCTATCTTTACGCGATATCATTTCTTTCGGATCCGATGCAGCAAAACGATAGATTGCGATAGAAAACAATGAGAATCTCTGTAGATCTCACCGCTCTCTATCGCTTTTTTCTTTTCGATGTTTTCCTTGATCAAAGAACTTTTGAACCTTGAACTTTACAATTTATAATTCAATATGAGCTATCTGTGATACCTCATAAAATAATCTCGTAATTGTAATCGCGAATATTCAACGGCCATATCGGCGCGAGCTTAGACGCGGTGCGGCGGGATGTAGGAGCGGCGAGGTAAGGACATGAACATTGGTGCGTTGTCCTTCCTCTCGCCGCGCGCCGGCAACAGTTTCTTTGTCGACTAGGCAATGCTCTCTAGCCTGAGCGGCTAGATGCTCCTCCCATAACGTCTCGGCGTGCGCTCATTCCTCAGATTTTTGTCATTAATAACTTGATAATTATTGCGAATTTCACGAGACGGTATGGGACTTTTATATTTGTCTTAACCCGCTCTATGTCTCCACGAGCTCTGCCAGATTTGTTATAAGACATCCTGTATACATCGTGGTGTACTTTATTTGATGAATTGTCTCGAAGCCTGAGGAATCTCTATTAAAAGTTCGTCCAACTTGTGGTCAAATTGTATTGTTTGAAGATAAGATGATCCTCTGGCCCGTTACTGAGTACTGGCCCGCGACACGGTCTTGATTTTCTGTCAGACGTGGTTGTCTCGAACATTAAATATTAAAGAGTTCTAGACAAATAGAAAACTAAAAATGTTATTCGATTATTTTTCGTGTTTCTTAAAAATCCATTCGTGATGTTGTTCATAATTGATCACTTGAACGTCAATCCTTCTCTTCGATATCGCCCATCTTTAATGGAACTTAAAATGTTCCGCAAGAAAATGAGATAGATGAAGAATACAAAAAAAATATCATTGTTCTCTTACTATGGATTTTAAATAAATTATGTAAGCCGATGCCACTTTACAACCACTGGCTCATGGTTATTGTCCTGATTATTGTTATCACGAATTATTACATTCGACGTCATGATCATCGTAGCGCGGCACTACTGAGAGTAAAAAAGAAACTGATTATTATAGAATGAAAATAAACTGACCGAGATCTATTAAAAGCATTAATTGCAACGTTGTAGTAAACGATGTTTATTATATTATTTCACAAACAATTTCTCAAATGTTGTCTTTTCAGACAGTTCGATACAAATGCTATAAAATACAGGTAAGTAATATTTATCTAATTCTTATTTATATAACTATAGATATATATAGAGCTATATCTCTTTCCTTATAAAGTATATTCTATTAGTTGTTTATTCTATTCTATTTATTCTATTCTACAATAATATTCTATTAATTTTCAACTAATAAGTTTTCAAACTTATTAAAAGTAAATACAGATATTAAAAATTAAAATATACAAATATCAAACAAATTTAATTTCAAATTTATTTTTTATGTACGTTATGTTTTTTAAACAGATGTAATATATGTATATAACAGATATAATAGATGTAATATATAATAAAGATGATTTAAGTTTCGTAATAATGTAAATTCTTAATTTTTATTTATTTCACGGCATTAAATATTTTTATACTAATAAAAATAGATATATGTTTTCAAATATGTTTATAGAAATTTACTGATCGAATTAAATAATAAAAACTTTTTATGAACAAAACTATTTGTAAGAAATTCGTATTTCTATTGCTATTGAAACATATTGTTCTTGCATTTTCTCATCAACTTAAAGATTTAAATACATTTGTTTTAATAATAAATATTTATAAATTATTAGTTTTACAAAATGAATGTTTTCCTCAGATGTGGTGAGAAACTCATCCAAATGCGACAGATAAAGAATCTCAGGTCTGATAAAAATATGGTTGGCCCATGCAAAGGAACGCGCATAAAAACAAAAAAATAATAATTGAGGAATTTTGTATATTTTGATAATTTCTTGATACAAGTTTCAATTTAAACTTTACTATCGTTTATTACGTTCTCATTTATGTTTTCGTTATCTTGCAATTGATGTTGGCTTCGCCATTATCGTTTCAAAAAGAATTTGTTTTAAAAAGAATTTGATTAATTTCAGTTAGTTATGTCTAAAAAATTTTCAAGCAAATACATTATTTAATGCAATGCTTACACATACACACATATATATATATATATATATATCAAAATATATGTGCAATATAGAAACAAGAAGGAAAGTGTTTTTGATAAAAAGTAGATATTTTATACAAAAATAAGTAAATAGTATGGAATAATATATTATTACCTTAAGTTTTATTCATAAAAAGTTTTATTTCATAAGAAACTAAATTATTCCATTTTTATTTACTGGTTTTACATAAAAAATCTATTTTTGTTTATCCCGAACTCCTATATATCTCAAATATATCCTATACACATATACACACATGCGCACGCACACACATACACATTGGGTATTTAAAAACTTTTGGCCAAGCCAATTTATACAGGTAGAACAGGTGAAATTAAAAAAAAAGTCCTCTATCATTTTGCAAACAATCACGCAAAATTAAAGGGGTGTCCTGAATTAGAATGTTCTAAAACAGCGTTTTTTTGTGATTTTTTTTAGAAGGGAAAGAAAGAAATGAAGTTATTGAATTTTGAGGTATGGTTTTATATATATTTAACGAATACAAAAAATTTTTTTTAAAGTAAAAAAAAATTATAACAGATTTCTAAGCCTATTTCATGGGCGTCTTGTCGCTGCAGTCTTCAATCGGCGGGAAAGATCCACCTCGTAATTCTTGACTGAAACAAAAAACCAAAAAAGGATTAAATTATTATATATTTTTCTTCTGGGTGAACTAAAAAAAGGCAGAAAAAAATGTGAAATTAAAAAATTTGGCGCGTTAAAAAAAAAATGTGTTTTAAAAAAAAATAAACTTTAAGGTGCTATAACAATTATTTAAATGAACTTTTTGACGAACTTTTTTAGTTCACTTAAAAGAGAATTTAATACTGAAGAAAAAAAAACTTTGGTTCAATTAAATAAGTCGTTTAGTTTTTTAGCTATCACGCCCGCCAATTTAGAAAAATCGTGAAAATAAAAACTGGAGAAAACGCGTTTCAAAGTTTTCAATAGGAAAAAATATCAATTTTTAGTTACTTACGCTGATAATCTGCTAATCAGCTATTCTTGGTCCATATAACAGTCTTTCTACTTCTTCAAAAACCTCATTGTGATGCATTTGATCGAGTCTACGAGCTATACGAGCCTCCTTACTGCTAAATGCCTGGCGCTTGTTCTCTCTCTCGATCCGTTGCGTGTCAGCGATATCAGCAAACATTTTGCACTGCTGGCCTATACTCAAATTAAGCAACTGCATGACACTCAAAATCGCTGAATACCCTTCGTTGAACATACCTGCAGCCATGTAGGCAGCAATTTCAACGATTTTTTGACCTGAATTGAGGTGTTTTGGAGTGATGAGCCAAATTGTTGAGTTGAACGACTCATTGGAATTTTGAATATAACCGCCTAAGCATCGCATTAAAAGGTTATCGTTTGAGAGATCTTCATAAATTGGGCGAATGTGTTTCTCAACTTCTTCATTAATCAATCGATCGGGATGCTTGAAAGATTTTAATTGATTTATGGATTTAGCTTTGCGCCATTCACACCAACTGTCGATGCCAACTGGACAATTATCGTGCCGAGGAGATTCATCAGTTGAACAATAATGATCCAGCGTTGCTATTATAGCTTCTTTCATCTTTTGGACAGAATCCACGTTCCTTCTAATGGTCAAAATATAATAAATCGTCAGTTTTTTTATGACACCGTCTGTCAACCGTTTCTTACCACCGAGCTTCCGTTTTTGCTTTATATTTCGAAGTCTTGAACCCATGCGTTTTTGTACGTGCCCCACGCACTCATTTTTTGTAACAGGACAATCATCACCGTACGGATTTATCTTCAAAATACCTGCAAAAGTTTTTGAATCACCGTCGCCGATGTAATTTGTATATTTTACGCCAAATTTTTCGTCAGATCTTAAAAACATTTCTGTGATTGAATCCACCTCCATCTTCCCAGCTGAACCTTGGTGATTTGAAGAGCATGATTCTGCGTGAGTTTCGTATCATTTTTCAAATTCGTCGTCGTCTAGTATTTTCTTGTTTAGAGTACAGCTGTGGCAGTATGCACTTTCTACGATAAGGTCGATTACTTTACCACTGTAGTGTCCAATGAGAGTTGTTACACCGTATAATGAAGTGAAGCTACGTTTTTTCCAGGATACATTGCCAGACACTTTCAAATGATTTTCAATGTTCCCGTTTTCTGCATTCTCTTCTCGTTCCTCTTTGACAGTTTTCTCAGTGACTGTATTGAACATCGATTACGATGCCGAGTGAATGTGCTGGACTATGTTATCGTACGTCGATTTCGCTAACTCTTGACATAGGTCCATGAGTCCACAAAATACGTTGATGTCATCTCGTCCAACACCAAATAGCCTCATAACAAACACGATTCGTCTATTTATTTCATAACCGGTGTTTATTAACGGACCTGAATTAATTTCACTCCGACCGCACATACACGATAATATAATTTTGAAGCCTAAGCCGCGATGCACGCTTTCTTCAAATTTTATTTTTTGTTTGCACGATGCGCAGATTACAATACCAGCAATTGCTTGAAAAACTGTGAAAAATTCAATGATTCTATAGCAATGAAGTGGATTCATAATTATATCTTCGCTGCTCGCCGTAAATAATTTTTTCGCGCTACCGCTTGTATCCAACTCTTCATTGTCTGTTGTTTTAACGAATCGATTTCCATGGAATTGACGCTTACGCGGTTTCGAAGCTCGTTCAGAGGTCGATTTTGTACCTTTTGGATAACTTGCTATGATATTCTTACGATGTGTATGCGTCAAGAATCTGAAAAAACTAACCGTTAATGCTACAAACTACTAGGTAAAGCCACGTACACTAAATGAATCATACACATTTATATTTCTATTAGACACATTAAGACTCAACTGGATACAACCATGGATTATAACTATTGTATTGAACGACCCTTCAACCTTTTTCAGGTATGGAATTCTGAATAGAAAGTCGGAGTGGCGAGCGCTCGCACACCTGCTCGACGCTCGTCTGCTTTCGGCTTTATATTCTTGGAAATATTTAGAATTGGCCTCTGTCAAATTGTAAACATATTCTTAGATAATTTATCTATCGATTTAAGCAATAAAAAAAACGATTTTTTTGACATTTTAATTCAGGACACCCTCTTAAGTTATTAATGATTAAAAACAGTCATGTTTGGAGGCTATTTTCATTAATTTAAACTTTGATATTTGCATATTGTAAGATTGCGAAGCTATATTCGAATGGTACTTTTACTTTGTCAGAATGATCCATTAACAATAACATATAGAACTTTATTAATCTGTACCTCTTTACATTTTTGAGACACGGCTATCTTCTCCAGTCGTGTGTGTGGTTAAATACAGAGCGCAGCGGACGATGTCAGAAACGTATTAATAATCGTCAATGGTTGAAAGCGCACCTCGAGGAACGATAAGGCTATACGCCGAGAAGCTAAAGAGCTCGAATCACTCAAAAAACTCTTCGATCCAATCTTCGCTAATATAATATCTCAATCACCAAAGACAAGATGATAAAGATCTCTATCACCAAAAGACAAGATAATAATGATAATGTGCTCGTCCACTCTCGTCTCCGCATATATACATATCTATACCTCGTCAGAGGTCGCGCGGTTATTATTGCTAATATTGTTGGGAATGTTGCTTACCACAGATGGCAACACTAACCCGTTCCCGCGATCTGATATCTTACACATATTTATTTGCAAAATAGTAAAGGACTTTTTTGTTCAATTTCACCTGTTCTATCCGTACAAATTGGCTTGGCCACAAATTTTCAGGCATCCTATATATATAAATTATTTTGTAATATTTCAAATATATTCTATAAATATATTATAAATATACTAGAAATATACTCGGAATATACCAAAAGATATTCTTAGTAGATTCTAGTAATATGCTCAAAACGTTCTGTTGATATACTGATAATATACGAAAAAATATTCTCAGTATATACTGAGTAGAACTTCTGTGAAAGACATTAGAACATCCTCAGTATATTCTTAGAATATCGTAGTACATATTTCGAATATTCATAGAATATACGCAATCTACGTTTACGATATACTGAGTATATACTCAGAATCTACCGATGCTGTCTGGGAAAACATGCTTTATTATCAGTAATACCGTAGAAGTGGGACTTATAAAAGGAGGCGAATTCTTACAAGCTAGTCGATATTTCTTACAGTATCGCGGAGTAGGGAGAGGGAGTAGGGCAGTACTCCTTCCAGCTGACAGCACTGATGAGTGGCGTTGGAGCATCTGTTGTATGCGCAGAGCCATCTATTGAAGAAGAAGAAGATCTCGCCGCATGCCACTAACAGTTGCTAGGTCGACTGGGCCGTGCCAGTGCTGTCAGGTGCAATATATTGCGACGCTACAGCGCATGCGTGAGAGACGTAGCTCTATGCCAATGACGGCAATAAAGCACGTCGCAGGGTCCATGAAGGGGCCCGCGCTATCCGATCAGCTGTCTTCCAGGCTCCAGTGTAGTTTTCCCGTGTTTCTTGCGCGAGTGTCTTATCTTATATTATATTGTTCAGTGGATACTAAATATCAGTTACATTAACATTATAATTCCAGTGGATATTAAGTAACAATTACGTTACATTAACATTATAATTTTTCACTCAACTATGTAACTGTTACATAATATTTGTATTAGACTCATATTAGATTATAGATTGAAAATTACTATCAAATCAATTAAAATAACGACGATTTAGATTATCTAATTTACTCGATTGCAATTCTCAATGCATAGTATAATATGAGCGCTATAATACCTTAAAAAAGATACGATATTGAGACTTTCACTCAAACAGGGAGCTCTACGTAATCTCATGCATGCGCTGTAACGTCGCAATATATTGCACCTGACAGCACTGGGTCGTGCTATAATCTGAGAGGTTGTAACGCTTCTCCAACCATTTATTTCAGCGCGCGCTCATTCGTCAGATTTCTGCAATTAATAATTCGATAATTATTGCAAATCTCGCAAAACGGTATGGGACTTTTATGTTTGTCTTAACCCAATCTACCTTCACATTTCGGGTTGGTAGGTAATTACCGGACACCCTGTATACATTATCGAAAATTACAATCCACAAATTATTCCTGTAGCAATAGTACTTACTGATTAAAAAAAATTTTTTTGGTTAATAACTTTTTAATAAGCAATGAGCTATGGCTAAAGCTCATCAAAGGTTACTAATGGTCATGTCTTTAATAATATATGTCGAAATCAAATCAATTGAAGTTATCTCCCCTATTATAAATGTTTACTGCTATGTTGACTTTCATTAATATTTTTTTATGAGAAATATAAATTTTACATTTTATATGGAATGTAATTTATTTTACATATTGTTTATAAAGATATAATTACAGAATTAACAATATAAAATATACAAGATGATATAATTAGTACATCAGTAATAAATGATTTATTCTGACATATGTGACAGATAATAACATTGTAAAAGATAATTCTACAATATTTTGCAAATACATTCATTATAGTACATGTTATATGTGATAAATGATAAGAAAAAATTTGAAATATTTCGAAATAGATTTTATTGAATTAGAAAGGGGATGTTTTTTTATTTCCTTTATAATTTAATTATACAATTTCTTTGGTTATTTTGGCCACTTATCAATATTAGAAACCATGAAATAAATGTATAGTGAACTCATCTAATATAAAATAGAAGTTATTCAACTTCAATAATTTTAATTATACGAAAATAATGACATTATTTAACTTTTGTAAAGGAAGGGAATGATATGATATAGGCGCTAATTCTATATATAAATGACTATATACAAAACAAACATCTATAAGTAAATACATTTTTCAACCAAATCACTAGTATTAAATCTGTATATGATATACACTTATTTAACAGCTAAATTTTGTAATTTGGATCCGACAATATTGGTAATCTGTTCTTTATCTACATCTACGGATTTCCCATTATTAGATGATTGCCCTAATCTGGCGCAAGCTTTTTTATGCATAAACCAATGCAATCTCTGGCATTCTCTGTCGCAATATTGTACTGCTTTACATTTACTACATTTTTTTATAGCTTTGTCCTCGCCACAAGTTACACAAATTTGAGTATTATCAGAAAAACCACGTTGTCCATTAATTGCAGCAGAAATTACAGAAACAGCAGATGGTGGATCCCTACTTGCTAATGTGGCAACCATTTGACGAAAAATTGTACTTTCTCTGAATGGAAACTCCCTCACAGATTCTCTCAAAAATGCTTCCTGATATTCTGGTAAACCATCATTTTTGCTGCATTTTAAAAACCTTCGTATCAAAAGTTCTACAGTATCTGATTTCTTCTCTTCGCTCTCCTCGTTGCTTTTTTCATTTTTCTCTGCTTTCATAGCTTCTTGTCGTCTTTGACACTTTAATACTTCGACCACAACACAACTTAAATAATGGTACTTAAAAGCCATTACTTCATTTGTCTCAGCACCTCGTGTCATTTCTCTGTAGCGCATAGACTCTAATACCTTTTGTACCTAACAAAAAAGACAAATAATAAAATACACAATGTATTCAATGTTAATGTTATTGTTAATAAGAATTCAAGAAATATCTAAGTATATCTTATATATTAATATAAGTAAACTGATATAAATGTTGATTATAATTAATACTTCACTATCTTTTATTTTTTTCCTTTCTTTTATAAATAGCATGTTGCTTACTTTTGTAGCATTTTCTAGGAGAGCTGGAAATTTCTGTAAATTTATGGTCACACGTACTGGATTAACATTGACTTGCATTATGAATTTATGAAAATAATCTGCTAAATGTGATGGTAGCATAGGTTCCATCAGCAAACCTTGTGGCTTGATGTAAAAATCTATATCAGCCTTTGGAATAAAGTTATTAATGGTTGCTACACAATTATGATTTCCCACAAATGCTGCCATTTGAGCAGCTGTTCTACCCACACTATTCATTGCTGTCAAACGTGCTCCATGAGACATTAGAAGATGGCACAAATCAGCATTGCCACTTAAAGCAGCAAAATGAAGTGCTGTATATGCATGTTCATGTTGACATGCATTTACATCAGCACCCTATAAGCAAATAATATATAGTAGTTATATTTTCGATTAAAATTTCAAAAATCTCTTCAATAACATAAATTTTGTTAAAATATATTGTGATTTTTCAAACAAATGCATATTAAGATTTTTTATATAGATATAATTTAGTTAAGATAACATATGTTATAGCTTGCAATTCATTTGATGCTCATCAATAAAAAATGTGTATATATATATGCATGCATTAATATCCCTTATGGAAAAAACAAATATTGAATATCTACACTCAATTATTTGAATTTACTTTGAAAAATGAATATATATACTCAAATTTGAGTATATATACTCATATTTGAGAATAAATTAGAATAATTGAATATAGATACTAAATTTGAATATTTTTTCTGTAAAGGATTTTATACTAGAATATATATTTTCTTATATTTGTATATAAGTAGATAAACTTATATTCCATTTTACAATAAATAGATAGTAAAGAAATTGATATAGATTGTCATGAAATTTAAATTTTCAATTTAAAATACAAAAATTAATAAAACATATCACAATGATACAATGGATGCATTCACGACACTCAACAGTTGAGCAACTGTTGAATAATTCATCAACATTATTGGTCTGAATGTAAGGATCTAACAATAAGGACAAATAGTCACTAATCACTCACTGAGCAGTTTTCTCTGCTGAACGCAATGAATATTTTGAACCTCTATATATGATTTAGTAAAATATTTTTGAAATTATGATTTTATTAGACAATTTTCCAAATAGTGAGATTGTTTCAAAGACAAAGGTTACTAAAATTTATATCAGAAAAAGGTTATAATTCCTTAAAATATCTTATAATGTTAAATTATGGGTTAAAATAGGTTAAAATTAAATTAATTTGAATAAAACAGCTGTTCTAGATTATTTAGTAAATTTACATTCAAGTAAAAGATAATATGTTAAATTAAAGTTTGAAATTAGAATTTAATAAATTATATAATTTTATTTTCTGTCAAAATATTGCTGAATAAAACATAGATTTATAGTAATTCAGATTTAACCCATATTTAATCTAACATATTTATTACTAATATAGATATATAAATTGATACAAAATATTAATATTTATTAAAAAATGTTATATAAAGTAAATAAGTTATCTCATTATTTATATATTAATCTTTTGTTCTTTTTTACTTTTAATTAAAAGCTGGTTATATTCATTGGAACTATACAAAAAATATTTATTCAAATTCACAAAAATTCAAAAAGTTTTAATAGCAGAGATAAACACCAAAATAGATAATATACAAGATAAATACAAGTCTAGAAAAATTCCATAAATATATGTTTTATGTAAATCATATTCAATTTTGTAAATATAATGTAAATGTGCATTATTAATAGGAAGATAAAATATATTTTATTGGATTGTATTTCCCGTATTTACCTTGCAATATTTTTCCTTTATTTTTAATGCCACAAATACATAGTAATTTCACCTCAAGCATAAAAAATGCATTTTAGTGAAGCTTAAGAAATGAACCTATAACCTACCTGATCAAGGAGCATTTGCACGATTTCAACATTTCCTTTATAACAAGCGTGCTGTAGCGGGCTCATGCCATTCTCATCAACAAAATCCATTTTGACTTTGTTCAACGCTAATAATGTTTTAAGTTCACATACTTCATTTTTGCTGATTTTTGTAAAAATATCTTTTTGTAAATCTGTAAGACTTTCATTACCGGGCGCCATGTTGTATGTCATTAGATCCGTTCTTTAAGCCTTATCTACAATGTGCTCTCTGCTTCCTTCTGAAGTCCCATCTACAATGGCTGCAAAAATAAGGTTGTAAGCGTAAGCAGTAAGAAATGGACCAACCATAATCGACTATTCTTATAATAATTATTCTTATAATAATTTATATTCTTATAATAATCAATATAAAGATTATTCTTATAATAATCGATTGTGGTTAGTCTATTTCTTACTGCTTACGCTTAGAACCTTAAGCCAGTGGCACACGGTGCTTGTTTTCGTGCTGGATTACTTGCTGGATGAAAATACTGCGTTCTGATTGGTACATTTCCGAAGATGGATAGAAATGCACCAATCAGAACGCAGTATTTTCATCCAGCAAGCAATCCAGCACGAAAACAAGCATCGTATGCCGCTGGCTTTATTCAATGGATGCATCCAGAACCACGAATGCTCACTGAGCTTTTACATTTGATTGGTACATTCTTTTAGATTTAAGAATATACACCAATCAGATGCAAGAGGTCATAGTGAGCATTCGTGGTTCTGGATGCACCCATTGACGTGGGTTGCATTCCGATATTCACTGCCAGCGCTGAAAATCCAGTATATGTGACACAAACTATATATTTTCGGTACTTGCAGTGAATATCGGAACGTAGCCGAAGACGCACATCAGCTAACAACTATTTAGGAACTGCGCTATCATCATTGATTAACCGAAGCGTACCGAACGCGACCGATCGTCGACGAATAATTACTTTATCGCTGTTTAACCTGCTTATTGTCTGTCTTACGCAGTATGTGATATGTGTATATCACATTCAATCCTACATTCCTTTTATTATTCAAGTATGTAAAAACTCAATCGAATTCTATAAATTGGCGTTAAATACGCAATCTTTCTCCAGTGCATCTGCGTAGTAAATATAGTTGCAAATAAATAATCATTAAAACGTAAAAAGGGATGTCAGAGATACGCAAACGAATGGTTGGCGATGCGTCAGCATCGCGAGATGTTAGTGATGATCAGGTAAGTAGATTTTTTGTATATTGTATATTGCATATATATTTTTGTATATTGTATATTTTATGTATTCTATAAAAGAAGGAGTATCTACCGTTTTATGAATGATGATTTCTGATAAAATTTCGCGTACAAATCGAATCACTATTTATTTATGCTGTTAACGTAGTATATAATTATTCGTTGATAATATTTTGACAGTTATCAATATAAAGCGTTATTAATATAATGCCTATACTATTTTCACGAAGACTTTGTAACGTGCTATGTATATGCAGATATATGTTCATGATCAAATATCGCATATACATATGTATATAGTGCTTGATTTAATATGCTTTGACATACATATTTTTTCACTTATCTTTCCTATGCTTTGAGAGGATTATTTAATTAGTTTTTTTAAGAGATATTAGGTTTTTCTTAGATAGTATTAATAAATATATTATTTGATTCAATTAATATTTATAATTTTATATAATATATATCAAATGGTGATTCAACAAGTTACTGCAGAGAAATATAATTCAATTCTAGTATAATTATAATAACTATAATTTTATTTATTATAATTTTATTTGTTATAATTTTAATCATTTTTTGTGATTTCAATTATTTTTTGTATTATATAATGTTTATTTTTAATAAACAGGTAAAATATCAAACCTATAAGTAAAAGATAAAATAATTAATAATTATTTGTTCAAAATGTTTGTAACTTCTTTGAAACTTTTTTTCAGAAAGAAGATGTGGAGTCTGAAGATGATGCAAAATTGGAGGTAGAAGAATTGACCAAAACTCTGCCTCAAGGAACTGATCATACTCCACATATTTTAAATTCTCTTCTCTCTGGTCTTCCTGATCGGTAAAAATTATGTATGAATGTATATGTGTGTGTACATGTGTGTATGTACATATGAATATGAGCGTGTATCATTTCATATACACTATTTTGATTTGACAAGAATGTCATATATAATAGTCATACTGTCTTTTGTAGTTGGCGGAATTGGATAATTAGAACCATTTTTACTTGGTTCATGATAGCTGGATTTTGTCTTATCATTTATGGAGGCCCATTAGCATTGATGGTTACAGTAAGTTTTCTTTAAAGTGTTTATCTAATTAAACAAGATACAGATTAGATTTTTCTTAAAGAAATATTTCTATTAAGAATTATACTTATGAAAAAGAAATATAGATTTCCTATTAAAAGCTATATTTATTATTATTGTAGACATTGGTAGTACAAGTGAAATGTTTTGAAGAAATTATTAATATTGGATATGCTGTATATAGAATCCATGGTCTACCATGGTTCAGATCTTTATCGTGGTATTTTTTAATAACTTCCAATTACTTTTTTTATGGAGAAAACCTAATGGACTATTTTGCTGTGGTAATTAATCAAACAGTAAGTATTACTATAAGTATTACAGTAAGTATTACAGTAAGTACTTCTACTTGGACTTGGTTTGTATACAATATCATGTGATTTATAGAAAATATCAATATAAATATATTTATAAAAATTTCTATTATACATATGCAATAATATCTAAAAAGGAAATTAATATTAAAATTCTATTTATATATAATATTAATATTAATATCTGCTAGTAATTAAAAGAAATTTATTAGTAAAATATTTTAATATACAAGGTGGTTTAAAAGTCTGGGAACAGCTAATTATCTCTGAAAGTAGCAATCCTGGAAAATGTTTCAGACAAAAGTTGTTTAAAAGGGTTTTAAGTAATATATTATATAGCAATATTATTATGACCTTGAAGAGTGTTGTCAAGGTTATATAAAAATCACTTTGAATCTTTTAATTGGAAATCCTTATTTTTTATTACATACTCTTATAGCTTATCTCAAGAGCTTTCCAAAACACTATCTTTAAGTTATTTTTTATAAAGTACTTTCCGAGTTATGAGGCTTGAATGTTAAAGTACCGCCGGCATTAGCATTACCCAAGGTGTGGGCGTGGAGGTTGCACGGTCGGATTTACACCTCTATTGTATGTGTGTATGCGTATGTGTTGAGGGACGGACCCCATCGGAACTTAGTCCGGAGCCTGGAGTAGGGAAAGTAGCAGCGAAGTGCGAGCTCTGCTAATAACAAAACATTTCATCTGTTATCCTGAGTGCATTGAGCTTAGCGTATCGATTGTACGAATTACATTACATATCGTGACAAACCTTAAGCGTTTCGTCAGTAGTTGGAAATTCTCATAAAAATTATATTTCTGTGTAATAATACGAAGTATTAAATAATCTTCATTTCTTTTAAAAGATTCGTGAAACCTTAACAATCGGTATATATAATACGTATACACACACACACACAATACACATAACAGAGGTATAAATTCGACCGTGCAACCTCCACACAGTACACCTTGGGTAATGCTAATGTTGATGATACTGTAACATTCAAGCCTTATAACTTCATTTTTCATGAAAGTACTTCATGAAAAATAACTTAAATATAGTATTTTGGAAAGCTCTCGAGATAAGCTATAAAAGTATGTAATAAAAAATGGAGATTTCCAATTAAAAAATTTATAGTAATTTTTATGTGACCTTGACAACACTCTAAGATCATAATAATATTGCTATGTAATGCGTTACTTAAAACCCTACAACTTTTGTCTGAAACATTTCCGCTACTTTCAAAGATAATTAGCCGTTTCCAGACTTTTAAACCATCCTGTATGTCATGAATATTAATATAAGTGTATAGCAAATGTTAGAAGTATATAGCCTTGAAGCTTTATTTCAGTATTCTTATGGCTTCATCATTTTATAAGGCTTCCTTGTAGCAGTTATTTAACGTAGAAATAGAAGGAAAAATATAAAATACAATGTTTTGTTTTCAGGGATATTTGCGTGTACTTGTAACATATCATCGATTTATTTCATTCTGTCTCTACATTGTGGGTTTTGTATGGTTCGTACTTTCACTCGTAAAGAAGTACTATATGAAGCAATTCTCTTTATTTGCTTGGACACATGTTGCATTACTTATTGTTGTGACACAGAGCTATCTCATTATTAAAAACATATTTGAAGGATTAATATGGTATATATGTTATATATATAAATATATCTTATTATGGTTAATATTTTTTATATGCAAATGTATTTATCTTATCAATAATATTATTTTCAGGTTTATTGTCCCTGTTAGTATGATTGTGATAAATGATGTGATGGCATATATGTTTGGCTTTTTTTTTGGACGAACGCCATTAATAAAATTATCTCCAAAGAAAACTTGGGAGGGTTTTATCGGCGGTGGTATTTCAACTGTCATATTTGGATTATTGGTAATATGTTTTATGCAAAATATTTTTTTAGGTAATGAATAAAAATTAAATTGCCATATGTTGATATAATATTATTTTTTAGATGTCATATGTCATGTGTCAATACCGCTACTTTGTCTGTCCTATTGAATATAGTGAAGCTTTAGGAAGAATGACTATGGATTGTGAGCCATCCAGTTTGTTTCAACCACAAGAATATACATTACCAAAGAGTCTTCAAGTGATATCAAAAATGGTGATCTATTTTACATTTAAAATGTTTAAACTATATGGTATACAGGAATTAATCATTTATGTATCTTTATACAGTTCAATGGAAGATCTACTTTAACATTGTATCCATTCATCCTGCATTCATTGTCTCTATCATTATTCAGTTCTGTAATCGGACCATTTGGAGGATTTTTTGCTAGTGGGTTTAAACGAGCGTTCAAGATCAAGGTATAATATAATATAATTCTAATTATCTATAACAATTATCTATAAGCTTGGCAAAATTTGCACATTTTGCTCGATTTGCAGCTCGTTCTGTCTACCGCTATTGCTCTTATATCTTCTCCCGCGTCTCACGAACTACACGAGGCTCAGTAACATACAACGCATGAAGAAAAAAAACGTCAATAGTAGGTGACGTGAAAAGCTATTGAACAAATCCATACGTCGTATGTTACTGAGCTTCGTGCGGCTCGTAAACCGTGCACGGAGGAAAACTCAGCAGAAATAGCGATAGGCGGAGTGAACTGAAAATCAAGCGAAGTGTAGATTTTGTCAAGTTCTGTAATCTAGAAAACATTTACTAAGTTTCATGACTGTAGGATTTTGGTGATGTAATTCCTGGTCATGGTGGAATCATGGATAGATTTGATTGTCAATATTTAATGGCAACATTTGTGAATGTTTATATTACTTCATTTATTCGTATTGCGTCACCTCAAAAATTATTGCAACAGGTAAGGTATCAAAATCGAAAAAAATTAATTAACTTTTTTCTTAATATTAATGTATGTGTAACATTGTATATTAATTTAGTAAAAGAAAGTAATTAAATGTAGTTCTTTATAAAAAATACATGTATGTTCTCCAATTTAGGTTTACAATCTGAAGCCAGAACAACAGGTACAACTTTTCTTATCATTAAGAGATTCATTACAGAATAGAGGTATGCTAAATGCTTATTAATATTATAAGTTAAATGCATTTGTAGTAACAAACTCTCCTGCAGGGATTATTTTTATCCATGAAAAATATTAGAAAAGATTATCTTTTCTAATATTTAAGAAGACGTTATATGCAGATAGCAATGCAATCAGTATCAAATAATTATATTTTGTTAAACTATGACAATGAAATTTATTCTTTAATTAGATAAGGAAAGATTATATAATGATAAATCTGTCTAATTGAAATTAATATGGCCAGAGACACAATTTATATGCATTTTTTTATCTCATTTTTTATTGAAAATAAAGATGCATTTTTTAATATTAGGAATGGAACTTTTCCTGCTATAGTCTGTTTCTTATGAAATTCGTATTCATATCAAGAACATTTTTGTTTATGTAGTAACAAAACTATGATGCACGTGCAAATGTCATAGTATAAATAACAATTTTATGTTACTTCTGTGATTGACTCTGGCTTAAGAACAGTCAATTGGATAAATCTATCATATGGCATTAGCTATATTTCTTGCATTCCACATTAGATAGTCAGAAATCTATCAAATGTTAGTAATTTATATTAAACTACAGTATCGGTTAAAAGAAAAATTAATATTTTTTTATTTTTGTTTAAAGCCTTTGAACCAAAGAATTACACATTATAAAAATCTTGTGTTATGCATAACAATATTTACAAAAAGCTCCAACTTCTAAAATATCTGCTTATAATTTTCGATTAAATGCAATTAAATATTAAAATATTCTATTCAAGGTATCTTTGCTTAAAATATATAGATCTCAGTATAGTTTTTATTTACAGTTGTGCATTTAAAATCCGATAGAAACGTGCGCGAATCTCACTTGTATATAAAATCATATTATTTGTTTTCTTACTTAGAATTATAATCTTAGAATTAATTTTAGTATTGGTGTAAAAACATGGACAATTCTGAGTCGATATAAGTCTGATTTAATCTTTTGTTAAATACGTTCTTTTTATTAGAATTAGAGTATTTATTGCCACGTTTAAGGGAAAAATACTTTATTAACATGATTTATATACTGTATGTAAGTATTATCATTGTGGGGAAACGATTTTACTTTGAAGTTTAGCATTATACCTTCTTTCTCTTGTTACATTGAACATTACATTCGTACTCGACTATTGAATATAGCAAAAAAAAGATAAGTTGACATTGAGATTACGACCAAATAAAGTTATGTTTATTTCACTATTAAGTAATGTTTATTTCACCTAATTATTATTATTTTTATCACCGCGATATTAGCGAGTATATATACCAAAAATATTCAGATAAGACAAGATCAATTTTTAATGTTTATGTGTTTATGTGAAAATCCAAGAACTGTCCCATGAGTGTATGCATATCGGAGTACTAATTCATTTCATACAAAGCACTTTGTTAGTTTGTAAGAATGTATTGCTGCTTGGAATTTGTAAATTGTTACATGGAATACATATATCATTTAGTCCTTATTATTGTGAGCATAGTGTTTATGTTACACTATTATATACATAATGCTAAACTTCATGGAATTTGTGTTATCGCGATCCTTTATTATATGTATAATAGTGAGAAAAAATAATTATAAATGACTTTTCAGACAAAATCAATCTCCATTTATTAATTGCCATTTGCAATTACTGAAAAATAAAATGATGGAGTTAATAAATAGAATGAATTTGTCTGCTATATTCGTATTGTGTAGTGAATGATATTCTGCAGTTATATCATATAATTTATAAGAATACATGATCAGATACTACATGATCATCTATTTTGCCATGTCATACAATAAGCAAAATCAACCAAATAGGTGTTAGTTGAAGAAATAATCTTAAAGGTGAAAAGTTAGTTTATTTTATTATGCTTCAAATCGTTTATGATATATATTATTTATAATTGTGCCAATCATATTTGTTACAAAAAATCTCTTACATAAATTGTCTTATATGTATTAAATTTGTGTGGCACAATTATAGACATAACTTTCTGTGATTAGATTAATACAAATTATATAAATGTTTCATACTGTTAGAATACACTTGGATCTTAATATAATTCTTAACTTGAAAGCACTGGCTTTAGAATATATCGTCCTAAAGAAATTCGATAAATGTGCAACAATCTGCTTCTGTTATCATTTTTCTATCTATCATTTTGGTTTTCATGCCTGGTTTTTTGCTTTTTTTTATATAATGTATTATATTAAGATCCTTGTATATGTATAAACACACATGGTACGTCATGCGTGGAAAGATATATTGTACCTATAATTATAAAAAGAAATAAGTTTACAGATCCTTGTCCTTAAATGCTTATGATATCTATAGTGAAAACTTAATGGTTATTAAATGATCAGAGAAATAACAACCAAGATAAATGGATAAAATATATACGTATATGTTTATTTAAAATAGAGAATATATAAAAAATTGGTGTGTTTACACACACACACACACACACATATATACATGTATAGATAGAAGAAATGTGTTACAAAATACATAAAATACAAAATGACTTAAGTTTTAATATATGATATAATATATTTATGTAGCAATAAAAAATAAATTCTTGGAAAATTCTCTCTCTCCCCCCTCTCCTGCTCTTCCCTCTTCCGCGCGCTTCCTTCCTCTAACCTTCTCTCTCTTCTCCCTCCCTTCCCCTTTCCTCGCTGTTCTCACTACTTCGTGAATATCTAATTTCTATTGTTTTTTTATCTCAGCACTAAATAGTCTTATTATTTTATTTTAGTTTATATGTTACATTTATTAAGAATTGTTTTATTATTTCATGTCAGTTTTTACATATAGGGTGAGGAAAAAATACCGGGACTCCGAAATATATCGAAAAATATAATTTTTATGAAAAAATGTTTCAGATAAAAGTTGTAGGGTTTCAAGAAACGCATTATATAGCAATATCAGTACCTTGAATAGCGTTATTAAGGTCACATGAAGGTCATCTTAAGTTTCTTAAATGGAACCCCTTATTTTTCATTATATATTCTTATAACTTACCTCGAGGGCTTTCCAAAACACTATAACTTAATGGTTTTTTATTAAATATTTTGCGAGTTACAAGATAAGTTCTTGTAGTACTTCTTCAGATCTTTTCAAAGCTTACACATTTTAAGGCCCAGTTCTACAACTTGCTATAAACGGAGTTTAAAGCAAGTTGTGGAACTGGGCCTAAGTAAGTCATTTCGAAGTTATCGAACTTTTTATAGTAAGATGTCTAACTCACAAAGACGAGATCGTCAATTATCCAGCCAACTAAAACGAGACTGTCCAGCCAACTAAGGCGAGACTGTCCAGTCAACCAAGGCAAGACTGTCCAGCCAACTAAGGCAAGACTGTAAAGGTTTATAGCAATTGTTCAAAATGCCCACGATCAACAGTTTGATAAAAAGCTATTTTATCGTAAAAAGATGAAACGGCATTTTGAATGTAATCAATAGGAATAATAGCAGCTTCATCAAAAATCCGATTTCGTAAATCATCCAGATTTTGTGGATTCGTTTTATAAACTCTTAAATAGCCCCACAGAAAGTAATCAAGAGGTGACAAATCTGGCGATCGAGATCATTCTACAGGTCTTCTGCCTATCCATCGCTGAGGAAATACTGTATTCAAATAATTATGGACGTCCTCCCGCAATGTGGCACAGCACCATCTTGCTGAAACCATGTATTCTCGAAGTCGTCACCCGTAATTGCTTGTATCGCTGGAACCATTTAATTTCTTAGCATATTCTCATTTTATCGCTGTTAGATTGCCTTCAATAAAGAATGGACCTATGAGAACATTATTCAAAATGCCTGCTCAAACATTCAATTTTTGTGGATACTGCCCAGACAGCATATAGACATCTAAAAGATGACGAAAAGTTGACAGATTTTCGTCATGGACGTCTTTTCGGTAGAGCCCATAGTCAACCAAAAGATGACTAAAAGACGGCATATGTCCCACTAAATGTCGTCTTACAGCCTAAAAGAAAAGATGATAAAAAGATGTCTAATATTAGACGTCTAAAATGAGATGGCTAAAAGATGTCTAATATTAGGTATTTTTTAGTCATTTTTTAGAATTATATTCTAGACAGATTTCCATTTTGTAAATTGTAGAGAAATTTGGATGATTAAAAAGTGAAAGATTTGTATAAATAAATATATATACATATAGTGGAAATACAATTTTTTTAATAAAAATATTTTATTGCACATATAAATAAATATTCTCTTATTTTCTCTCTCTCTCTCTCTCTCTCTCTCTCTTTGGAACACAAGATACATAAACTATTATATATTATAAAATATTATAGTGACTTTATGTTAAATATTATACTGTTTGAAACTGAAATGTCATATTAGATAAACAAAACAAAAAATATCAGCAAAACAAAAAAATAAAAGTCCTCTGACATAATTAAGATTCATGCCCCAACTTCAAATGATAACGAAATCTGTCTCCAGTTCTTCTCAACCACTCGGAGAATTTATTGCTCAACTCGCTGTAGATGGCTGACTGATATAAGTGTAAAATCGTTCCTAAAATTTATTCAAAAGTTATTGATAAGTTTTGCTTTCTTTTTTATTGACTTTTATGTATGAAGATAAATAAAATTACTGATAATAACATTGGAAAACGTGGTGTTTTTATCCCCTCGGTCTTTCGTTGATCATCCCAAATTATTTCTTTTGCTAATTTGTTTGTTAACGCTATAACTAAACTATTGCTTAAATGTTTCATTGCAGTTTGTCCACCAATTATCCGAATTTTCTTTTCCTGTAACAATTTTGAATATAACATTTTTAATATTAATAAGTTCTACATATAGTAATTTGTTCTATCGTTATAATAATTTTCAACTTACAAATTGTTTTCGTACGTCTGTACTTGTTTGTAATTCATTACAAAAACGTGGTCTTCTGAATAATGGAGTGGGAAATCGGGTAATAAATCTAACAAATGTGGTGCCGTAGAAAGGTTTTAATCTCTTGCACGAGATGGACTTTATAAAAATGAAATTTATTAAGTTTTAATATTTTAAGCACAGATTTTTTATCTAGATCATTTTCCTACTTTGCTGAATAGAATCATGCGAATTTTCGATAAAGGATTATGAAACATCTAATGATTTTTCTGGATTTGTTGCTAATGCAGATTTACCTGATATTGCACAATTTTTCATATTACCAGTTTCCTCAAAATGCTTTATTGTTCTCTCAACAATAGATTTGGAAATGGCAGTATCTTGATCACGAAATGTTTCCCCACATAGCAAAACTTGATTCTAGGTACGTCCAATAGATATATCACAAGGGATTTAGTGATATGCGAAATACATTCGTAAAGACCGAAATATATACATAGGATGTACCGAGGACGTTTCTATGTCTGCTCATTAACATCCAAAAGAAGTGATACGTGGATGTCATGAAAATATGTACACATAACATTATATGATCCTACTAATATCCGTAAGGTATCTTTCAAGTACCAAAAGTGGTGCTAAGGACATCCACAAGATCCACAAGATCGTGATAAATTCTATATATCCCGAAGTCATCCTTGCAATACTGAAATAGGCCCGGTTGTTCTAACTGAAAGGTAAGTTGACTAACAATTAAATCATATGCCTATCTTTGTTTTTCGTTCGAAACAAACAGAGACAGACATATAATTTAACTGTTCGTTAACTTACTTTTCGGTTAAAATAATCGGGCCATAGAGAAATACATTTCATAATGGTTTGAACATATGTTTCGATGCAGTTTGAAATGCAGCTTATCGTCCAATGAGAAAACTACTTTTTCCGAAACATGTTCTTATGCTAAATCATCGGCTGTGTTCCAAAGCACCAAGAACAAAATGCTCACGCTGCAGTCAAGATTAATATAAAAATCTTAAATGGAAACTCCAATTTTTTATTACATCGTCTTTTCTACTAATTAATTTGAATAACTTTTGTCTGAAGCATTTTTTAATTGCTTAATATTTTTTAGATATTTAAGGATAACTTGATAACTTTTTCAATATTTAACTTACGATATCTCGCTAACTGTTTGTCAGGATAAAAAAAATGGTACTAGACTTTCTTGCTTTATTTAGTCTCAAGAATATATTGTTACAATAGCACCCTGACTTTTATTAACTTACTGACTTTTGGAAATTTCATAATCATCAAATTAACAAAAATCAGGGCGCTATTGTAACAATATATTCTTGAGACTAAATAAAGCCAGAAAGTCTAGTACCACTTTTTCTTCCGACAAATTAGCGAGATATCGTAAGTTAAATATTATAAAAGTTTTCCTCAAATATCTCAAAAAATATCAGACAAATAAAAAAATTATTAGACGAAAGTTGTTCAAATTAATTTGTAGAAAAACGCACGCACACATACACATACACGCACGCACACACACAACACACGCACGCACGCACGCACGCACGCACGCACGCACGCACGCACGCACGCACGCACGCACGCACACGCACACGCACACGCACACGCACACGCACACGCACACACACACACACACACACACAAGGTAAAATTACTCATGTTATTTTAGTTTTTTTTATTTTCTATAAATCAAGATTAATTTTTTATTTATTTTTATTATTGTACACACTAATGAATTACTCACTATATTAAATTTTTGTTTGTAATACACAAATGCATATATGATGTGTTCTATAAAGCTCAACTTTACTAGATTCAATATATGTTTTCAAGTGAAAAACTTCTAAGCACTTTGAAAAATCAACGCAGCTATATTCATTTTAATATATTATCATCAAATTTTCCTATTAGCGTTATTAGACCATTGTTAAAGATACATTCAAATTCATAATTACATAAAATAATGTTCTCAATTCGTTAATATAACATATTACATTTAGTAACTAAAAAATAGGAACTAAAAATAGTTAAATATACATAATTATTTTATATAATAATTTTTTGAATTACAATAATTCCTCATAGAGTTAAGCGATAATATATCCAATAATTTATCAAATAATCTATCAATAACATAAACGATAAGATTTAATTCAAAGCACAAATTAAGATAATACTTGTACACGACTAGAATAAGATTTTCATTAATTAGTTTTTAGACTTTTGCGGCCCATTGATACAATCAGGGTATGTTTCTTCCGGATGGATACCGCGTCGTAATTCAGCTTTGTGCCGACGTTTCACAAACATTGCAGCTTGCATCATCAGGGCTAGGAGCTCCAATACTGATATCGCTTGCAATATTTGCGAAACGTCGGCACGAAGCTGAATTACGACGCAGTACCCATCCGGAGAAAACACACCCTTCATTAACTATTGAACTCATAATACTGCAATATTGCTTATATGTAGAAAACATATATATTTAATTAATGTTTGTACTTACTGCGAAGAATTTAAACTTTTTGAAAAATTAATAGGCATAGCAAAAACTTTAAAGATTTAGGCGAAAATGTAAATATTTTTCCACGGTTTTGAACTTGCAAGGAAATATCTATTTATAAACAAGTATGGTCTGAACACACATTAAATATATATTTGTTTATAAATAAATATATCCTAAGTGCAGATTTTTCTTGCACTTTATGAATGATATAAAACGCATAAGTATATACAACTCGGTTCAAGGCACCATTTAGAGTATAATCAGAAAACATAACATTTTTATGATTAATAATTTATGGCATAAATTTCTTTGCACGTGTGATACAATCTTGACTATTGATCATATCATACAATTTTAGGAATCACTAGCTGCTGTTTGAAGATTTGTAATAATGGTTGAGATTAATTTCTTTAAAGAACAGATTGATAAATTTTTAAATATATATCAATCACAGACAAATATCATTTAGCGATTCTAAAACCCGTTTTCTGCACACAGCCATTGATAAATATTAAAAAAAATAAATAAAACCAGAAGAGATTAGAATAATTCTATTCAAATATGTGAAATAAATATCTGATCTTTATGTTTAAAATTTTAAACTTTACTTTAAACTGACATGACAATGCCTTTACTTCAAACGAATCGATGAAATGCGATGCAAGCGCAATCATATTGTTGAATGCGAGATATGAACGAAAATCGTCTGACAAAGTTAAACGTTTCCATGTAATAAATTAGACATTACAGAATCCATCTTGATGACTTGTACTTTCGATGTCAAGCTTTTCGTTGAGTCTACATCATATGAGGACCAATAACTTATCAATTCAGGAAATTCATCATTATTAATATACTTAATGGCAATGGAACTAAACTGCTTTCGCGAATTTAAATCTGGTTGACAGTTAAAACCATGGCACAATTGCGTTAAATCACTTTGACTAGCGTTAATAGCTTGTACATCTGTATAGTTCACGAAAACTATCAAAACTCTTTCTATGAGCTTCTGCTCTGTAACAGATGCTTTTTCAACATAATCGGATAACAAGTCTGTCCATTGCCAGAATTTAATGGCAAAACCAGAGGTGTAAGGTTTATCCGGGGTTACCAAAAATGCCGGCTTCGATGCGAACGTATTTAAACTCACGTGATCCCAAATAGTTATCGGTTCATTTGTTAACTTCTGCAAAGTTAGATTCACATTAACCCGGCAAAGTTGACCCGGACATACTCCTTTATTTTCTATAGTCAGATAGTGATAAGGCGTAGGCTTCCAAATATATTCCTCATTGCACATTTTAACTATTTCAAAAAGTCGTGGCAATGTGTTCGTCAATTTGGTTGCAAGCTTTTTATGCATCTGTGATGTTTTTATACTGTGAAATAAACCTTTTAGAGACATGAAGTTCGTCGAATCTGCAATAAATAAGTTATTAATAATCATAATATACAGTTATTAATAATCATAATATACAGGTAAAAATCATGAAAGAATTAAAATAGAGAAATAATTGTGGTACATACGTTTCGCATTGTCATTGTAACAGCTGTAAGATATGCTGCCATTAGAGACGAGATTATATATATCAATAGAGGTGCAGTTAACTAAATAACGTCCTAGTAATTGGCCAGTCTTGCCTGACAGAAGAACAAGAGATGACACATTAGCATTATCTACTGATATGCTCAACAAGTCTTCAATATCATCCGCATCAATATCTGGTAGAATAACTGGTAATTTAGGAAATGTATGAGTTGTTGAACTCCAATGAATTGTTCCAGCAATTGGTTCTATGCTAACAAGTAAGCCTTGTTCACCAGCAACAATACAGTCAGGTTTCCCAGAACGGTCTATATCAATACTAGTACAATCTATGATAGTAGGTAACCTTTTTAATGGAACCAGCCATAAAGGCAACCCACTACTTCCTTGCATTGACATAACTCCTCCTCCTTCTGATGGTATTTGTCTTTGATGTATTGTTCCATCTTTTGTATCATTCTTTTTGTGTTGTTCACCATGAAGAAGAAATATCAAATTGTATGGGAATCCAGGTACTATAGTAATAGGCCCTTGTATTTCTGTTTTGATTTAAAATAAGAAAATAATTAACAAAGATATAATACTAATAAAGTTTTCTATTACTTACATTTATTTCAAATTTTGTTATTAAAAATTTATCTTAAACTTATATTTCCTATATTTATTTGTTCTGTCACAATATTATCCACAATACAAAGTGAAGAGGAGAGGAAAATATTTTGGGAGACAATAGTATATGGATCATAGTAAAAAGTCTGTCTGATATAGTTAGTATTCTCAGTAGTTTTGGCAATATAGCTGTTTAAATTTTATAGAATTATAATAATAATGAATTAAACATGTATTACATTCATAATAAATACTCAAAAATTTAACTGTAAACTTTAATACACTTTACAATTTCTATCCTAAGATGATATATCATTTCTTCTAGAATTTCTTGAGTATAGATCACCGGTTTCTTTTTGCAAATAGTAGAATATTAGTAATAGTAGCATCCAATGCTACTCATATAAATAAACAATAAACTGCTCTCAGAGAAACAATATACCATCTTAAGACATATGAATATTTTGTAAAGTATAATAAATGTCACAATTCAATTTTTGAGCATTTATTGTGCATATTATTTTTATTGTACAATTTATTATTATTCTATATACTTCTACAAAATTTAAACTGTATTTTCAAAACTATTAAAAATGCTAACCATATTCATATAGACTATTTCTTTTTATATTGATCATCCTATTATCCCTAAAAATATTTCCCTCTCCTCTCAACTTATTCTATATATAGCTTATAATAATGAACTCACCTACACTTTGCAAAGTTTTATCCCATGATACTGATGATTGTGATTCAATGATTGGAGGGCAGACCATTGAATTGTCACAGGGTAATACATACAAAAAGATAACTATTGTAACAATACATAGAAGTATTGATGCCAATAAGCAAAATCGTCTGATTGGTGACATATCTTCCCTTTTCCAAAAATCATTTTGCTCACTTCCTTCAATCACCATTATTGGTATATCATCCCTATAATACTTGATTGTGCTTTGTCTATTCCTTGCATTATTTCCCAGATTTTTTGTTTCATCCAATGGATAAAACATGCCATTTTCGTGATTCGAATGCAATTCCTAAATAACGTCAAATTATTAAAAAAGTGATTAATATATACGCATTTTTATAATAATGCTAATTGTGAAGAATACGGGCCTCCTCACTAATTTCGCTGAAACTTTGCACAATTGTACCAATATTTTGTATGTACCAATATTTTGGTACATAGAATGCGAATTTGAAGGAAAAAAGTATCGCTCTCAAAAGGATCCAAAGTTATAAAGTGATAAAAAATGATACATACGAGGTTGGAAAATCTGTCATGCCGATAATGCAGAGACTGATGGTCTGTTCTTTTTAGTCGCACAACTGAACTCAATTCAATAGTGCAGCTGGAAGGGACAGACGGAGAAAGCATGCGCAGTGCGTCAAAGTATAAAATTAATTTGAACGAAGCTGTTATTTTGTAAATAATAATATTTCATGAAGCATAGTATTGTTAGAAACACGTACTGTTAATAAACAAGTAAATGTTTATTGGCAAGTTATAAATAAAAGAAGTTTTATGAGTACAATGCTTTAATGTTTTTCTATAACATATATATATTCTTAGATATTAGAAATAACATGAAATAATATGAAAGCGAATAGTTTAAAATATAAATGATCCAGTGGATACATAAAGTTCATTAGCTGAAAACAAAACATTAATGCATTGATCGTATTACTTGTTTCTTGAAATTAGTAAATCTACCACATAAGTTAATTACCATTAAAATTATAGATTCTGAAAGGTTAGCAAAGGCTCCAACACAAGGTCTGGCAATTAAATTTTTCGCCTTACTACATTAATGAGTGTACAATATACTAAAACAATAGATTTTGAAAAGATTAACAAAGGCCCCTACGCAAGGTTTAGTAATTAAATCTTTTGCTTTACTAAATTAATCGAGTTTACGATATACTAAACAGATTTTGAAAAGATTAACAAAGGCCCCTACGCAAGGTTTGGCAATAAAATCTTTTGCCTTACTATGTTAATGACTCTATGATATACTAAAATTATATTTTGCAAAGATTAATAAAGGCCTCTGTGTAAGTATATCTACTGACGGCATACAATATGTATATAGTCCAAGGCCCCAAGGTTTGGCAAGTAAAGTTCATAATGTTTATTTATTTTATACAATTTGAAATTTATATATTAATCTGTGCATTACTATTTGTGGATTATTTATTTGTGCCAAAATTTATGTCAGAATCTATTATTTTAGTATATCATAGATTCATTAATCTAGTAAGACGATAAATTTAATTACCAAACCTTATGCAGGAGCCTTTGCTAATCTTTTCAAAATCTGTTTAGTATATCATAGACTCGATTAATTTAGTAAAGCAGAAGATTTAATTGCCAGACCTTGCATTCAATCTTTTCAGAATCTATAATTTTAATGGTAATTAATTTATATGGTAGATTTATCAATTTCAAGAAATGAGTAATATGATTAACGCATTCATATTTTTTTCAGCTAATGAGCTTTATGTATTCATTGGACCATTTATATTTTAAACTATTTGCTTTCACATTATTTCTAATGTCTAAGAATATATATATTACAGAAAAACATTAAAGCATTGTACTCATAAAACTTCATTTGTTTATAATTTGCCAATAAACATTTGCTCTGTTTATTAATAACGTGTCGTCTTAACGTACGTGTCTCTAACAATACTATGCTTCATGAAATATTATTATTTACAATATAACAGCTTCATTCAAATTAATTTTACACTGACGCACTGCGCATGCTTCTCCGTCTGTCCTTTTCAGCTGCACTATTGAACTGAGTTCAGTTGTGCGATTAAAAAGAACAGACCATCAGCCTCTGCATTACCGATATGACAGATTTCCTAACCTCGTGTCATTTTTTATCACTTTATAACTTTCGATCCGTTTGAGAGCGACACTTTTTTCCTTCAAATTCGCATTCTATGCACTAAAATATACAATTATGCGAAGTTTCAGCGAAATTGGTGAGGAGGCCCATATTCTTCACAATTACCCAAAAAAGCAATATTCCATCAGAACAACTGCAAATTATCATGTCTGCAAATATCTTTAGCAATGAGAAATGCGTCAAATAAACCTTGATTCATTTTCAGAACTAATTAAAACAAACTAATTTATCTTGGCAAAAGTGGTTAAATGAACTTATCACTACAAAAACAAAACCTCCCCCAAACTTGGCTCCTCACAAACAAACTATTAACAAACAATTAATAAACAATTGTCAGGATCAATATTTTATATTTAATACTCTCATACCTATAAATATACTTTGAAAATTTCAGCTTGCTAGATCATAAGAGCCCTTTAGCGCTAATTACTTATTATCTTACCGCTATTGTTGTACTATCAACAACCTTGCAGGCATTATCGTTAGGTTGAGTTAAATGTTCCTCTTCATCTTCGGTATCAGTGTTACTTATACTTTGTGGTAGAGGTGTATATCCTTTGTCGCTGTGATGTTCCACCATTATTCAAGTGTGGCATTGAATGAGTATCCAATGTTCTTGGTATGCACAGGTATTGCTCTACTTTTCTTTCTCAGTACAACTACATTATAATTATTGTAACAATAATATCATGGTTAAAAACAAAGATGGATAAGAAAATGCAATCATAGACATAGACCCATATTCTAAACTTGTTTTCATCATAAAATGCCTCTAAAAGTGGTTTATAATCAATCAGGAAACTTATAAATTTTTATAGTCACTTTTAATGATAAAAAAGTTTAATGATAAAAAGTTCAAAATATGAGCTATAATATACCTAGACTGCGCGTCTCCTAAATATTCCAAATTTAAAAAATAAAAGTAGAGTTCACATAAAAAGGATACACACTGTTTTTTATCCGTGCATTCTCCTTCACGATGGAAGAAGAATAAAAACCAGTTCGGAATAGGTTGCAGACCGAGGTCTGTAAATAGAGAAACGGAACACTGTAAAGGGCTCCACACATGAAATGACTTACGGGCTTCACACATGGGTACCTATTACGGAACTCGTCGGAATCGATTCCGATAGAATTTATTCCGTTATTTCCTAGATTTCTATTGTCTTTTCTAGGGGAAACGGAATTATTCCGATCGGAATCGATTCCTATGAGTTTCATAAAGCGTCGTCTACAAAGGCAGTAAGCAGTAAGAAGTAAGCATGAACAGTAAAGGCTCGTCTACAGTAAAGGCTCTACAGTAAGTCTATAGTAAAGGCTCGTCTACAATAGCTGTAAGAGTAAGGCTGTAAGGTAAGCTGTCAGCGAATGAAAATATTTCATTTCGTGTCTTGCAACCTTACAGCCTTACTCTTACAGCTAATGTAAACGAGCCTTAAGAAATGGATCAACCACAGTTGATTATTTTTGTTATAATCGACTGTGATTGGTTTATTTCTTACCGCTTACTTCTTACTGCTTACTGCCATTGTAGACCACGCTTAATAAGTACTATGGACTACGTTTACACGGCAAGGTTAATCTGGATTAGTAATAACCGTAGTTAGTGAATTCTTTGATTCGATTGATATATTTTTTTAGATCTAAAAATATACTCTAATCGGATTCGAGACTGCACTAACTACGGTAGTTACTAAACCGAAATTAAAAGCTGTGTAAACGTAGTCTATGACTGACTTAAGCCAGTGGCACACGGTGCTTGTTTTCGTGCTGAATTGCTTGCTGGATGAAAATATTGCGTTCTGATTGGTGCATTTCCATCCATCTTCGGAAATGCACCAATCAGAACGCAGTATTTTCATCCAGCAAGCAATCCAGCACGAAAACAAGCACCGTGTGCCGCTGGCTTTAAGGCCGGTTGTTCCAACTTTTTGGTAATGTTACGTCCTGGACAAGCATAGAACATGCGATGTCTAGATTCGTTTGGTTTACTTCGGATCAGCGCTATTCTTGTCCAAATCTTTATTATTTGAATCTGTTACTTTTCGAGGTGGGTTACTGTTAAGTTTAAAAGTAATAATATTCTCGCTAGTGTTGAATTTAACTTCAAATATATTTCCCTTTATTTCAGATTTTATTCTCGGGACCGAAGATTTTGATGGATCTGTTTTGAAAACAGCCAGGTCGAGCGTGCCTGGATTATAATAACTTTTTAACAGAGGCCTAAATTGAATCCGCCGTCCGGCTCGTTCCTCGTTCTTTTCGGCATAAGAGGTTTCTTGGTAATATTTATTTTAATAATATCTATAATAGGGTAGATGGAAGACGTGGTTAAGTTTTAAAGAATAAAAAGGCGAACGGTGCTCGTGGTTCAAGCACTATTGCTCTTAAGGAAATGAGGAAGAATAGTGCTCGTGGTTCAAGCACAACACTCTTAAAGTAAGGAGAAAAAGAACGGTGCTCGTAGTTCAAGCACTGCGTTCTGGGAAAAAAGGAAGAATGGTCCCAGACAACACACGGATGTTCATTGGATGTCCGTTATATGTTCATTCTTTTTACGAAAGACGTCCATAGGACGTACGTTTGTCACAACTTCGGACATAGGACGTCCGATGGACGTACATCAGACGTTCTACAGGTCCGATGTTCAATAAGGACATCCTTGTTACGTCCAATTTATGTCCACGGACGTAAATCGGATATACGGACATAAATTGGACGTGAAACGTACACTCGTGAACTAAAAGGTATGTGCACCGATTTTTTGTTGACTTCGGAACGCGCTCCAACTTGAGGAGAAAAACAACCACTGCTTCATACGTCAGCGCTGTCACTTATTACGAGGCAGAAGGATGGCATAGACGAGTGTCAAATAAGTAGTGATTGTGTCGTAGACACAAATGTCTTGGAGACTTTGAGTTATAATTGAAGAAATGAAGAAAACAAATAGTGATTGTGGAGAAAAGTGGCAAAAGGCTTCATAAAATTTGTAAAACAGCATATTAAAGGAGAATATTAATTGTTTAATAATATTTTAAGTGAAAAATATTTTTTATAGCTATAAAAAATAATATTATAGCTATAAATTTGCCTTCGACGCTAAATGAATATGTATGTAATGCTATCATTTACATAGGTGGAAAATTATGTTATTGCGCTCATAAAAAATAAGCAGCAGACCAAGTCGAGTGATATATTTTTAACAAGATACTCGTATCACTCAACTTGGTTTGCTGCTTACTTCTGCTGAACACAATAATATAATTCCTCACCTATGGAAATAATAGCATTATATATACAGGGTGTTTGATAGCTGATCATGCAGACGAAAGTTGGAGATAGATTGGGAGCCGAGAAGAAAAGTCATGTACCATAATGTCAAATTGGCAATAGTTACCGAGTTATTAATTAAAACATGTGAGCCAACGAGCGCATAGACAGCGGAGGGCGGCCGCAGTAAGCACGTAGACATTTGATACAGGCGGAGTCAGCGAGTGGCAATAGGCGAGCGCGCGCGGTGAGGGGCAACGTAAGCGATAAGAGGCGATCGCGTGCGACGAGGAGCGAGCGAGCTTTTTCTTTGTAGCTTTTTCCTTATAGCTCGCTCGCTCCTCGTCGTTCGCGCTCGCTCGCTCTTCGTCGCACTCGCTCGCCTCTTGTCGCTTGCGCTTGCTCGCTCCTCGTCGTTCGCGCTCGCTCGCTCCTCGTCGCGCGCGCTCGCCTCTTGTCGTTTACGTTGCCCCTCGCCGCGCGCGCTCGCCTATCGCCACTCGCTAACTCCGCCTGTATCAAATGTCTACATGCTTACTGCGGTCACCCTCCGCTCTCTACGCGCTCGTTGGCTCACATGTTTTAATTAATAACTCGGTAACTATTGCCAATTTGACATTATGGTACATGACTTTTCTTCTCGGCTATACCCAATCTATCTCCAACTTTCGTCTGCATGATCAGCTATCAAACACCCTGTATATTCATTCAACGTCGATGACAAATTTATTAACATTAAAGAAATTATGGTTTATAACTTTTTTAACTTACACTCAAATTTAAAAATATTTTTCACTTAAAATATTATTAGACAATTAATACTCTCCTTTAATATGCTGTTTTACAAATTTTATGAAGCCTTTTGTCACTTTTCTTCATAATCACTTATATTTGTTTTCTTCATTTCTTCAATTATAACTCAAAGTCTTCAAGATATTTGTGTCTACGCCACAATCACTACTTATTTGACACTCGTATATGCCATCCTTCTGCTCTCGTAATAAGTGACAGCGCTGACGTATGAAGCAGTGGTTGTTTTTCTCCTCAAGTTGGAGCGCGTTCCGAAGTCAACAAAAAATCGGTGCACATACCTTTTAGTTCACGAGTGTACATTCATTGAATGTCCGGTGCTGTCTGGGGTGCTCGTGGTTCAAGCATAACACTCTTAAGGTAAAGAAAAGAAGAACGGTACTCGTGGTTCAAGCACTGCGTTCTGGAAAAAGAATGAAGGTGATAATCAGTGAGGGAAGAGAGGTAAAGAAATCTGTACACACATATATATATATATATTATAAAATTACTCTATATTGTTAAGTTTTAAAATTCATACACTAAGTTTAATATAGTTAATAACTGGCTCAATACTTATTCAAGTAATAGAAATGATTTTCTATAGTATCATTATGAGGAAAAGAGGCTCGTTCGACCTTTAATGATTTGGATTTTACATCTTAACAAATGTCTTAGCATTTGCAGACGGAGTCCCAAGAACAATAATCTTTAATACCGACCTTTCTGATTCCAGGCTCAAGATCCTTTAGCAAACGGCTGGCCAAAGGCTCAGCGAAAGACTGTCTAAAGACTGGTTAGAGGCTAATAAGAGACTGCCTGCGCGCGAAGGGCCGAGCCCTTTTTATACCCAAGCCCGACACTATGGATGTCAATTGAGCGCCTTTTCCTAATTCACTATTCATTATTTATTGGTGAAAAAATACAAAGATGTTATTATCTAGTGATTAAAATTATACTTAATCATATCCCAGACAGCACCGGACATTCAATGAATGTACGTTTCACGTCCAATTTATGTCCGTATATCCGATTTACGTCCGTGGACATAAATTGGACGTAAAAGGATGTCCTTATTGGACATCGGATCTGTAGGACGTCCGATGTACGTCCATCGGATGTCCTATGTCCGAAGTTGTAACAAACGTACGTCCTATGGACGTCTTTTGTAAAAAAAATGGACATATAACGGATGCCCAACGGATATCCGTATGCTGTCTGGGATGTAGCGTTTGGTAATCCAATTGTCTCGTTGTTGGCTGATTTATTAATAAAATTATGTTTTACTAAGAAATGGAGATGTTGTTATTGATTTCCTTTGGTATAATATAAGAATTTGGAAATTTTGAATATTTAAAAACTAGTGGAGCCAGCAGCGCCATGTCCTGGCCCGGGAGGTGGAGTGCAGCGTGGAGAACCTTTTACTCCCGCGCATGGTTTGCGCCATGTGCGGGAGCGAGAAGGCATGGGGGGCGGCGGCCTCCTTCTGCCGCGACGTGACGTCGCGGAAGGAGGTCACCGAATGGGAGCGCCGCCTGGGCATCCGCCACTGCAGGGAGCGGCGGCGGCAAAGGCGGCGCTCCCCCAGTTTGGGCAGCGGGCCCGAGGTGGTGTCGGCCGAGGAGGAGCGGCCACCGACTTGCCGGAGGTCGCTTCTTTGGCCACCTCGGGCTCGCCTTCGCAGCGCGGGGGGAGGGGGTGACGGATGAGTGAAGCCCACACACCCGCCTCCCCCTGGCGTCGGTAGGAGTCAGGCGAAGGGGAAGCCTGGTTGGGGCTGGGCTCCACTCCTCCGCTCCCTTGACGAACAAGAGTAGTGCGAAGAGAGGGTGGATGTCCCCTCCCTTCAGTAAGTGAAACCAGAAGGCCAACTATTTATTGAACCAGAATCAGAGAGAGAGAAAACTTTCAAATTTTGTCGGCTGTTTGGTAGTATTTAGGGCAAGAGCACAGGCTTTTGCATAACACATAATACATAACGCATAAGAGAATAAACTAATTAGTTTTCTTCATTTCCCTCCTCGGGACAGAAATGAAGAATTCTGATTGGTTGATTCTCTTATGCGTTGTGTATTATGCGTTATGCAGAAGTCTGTGCTCTGGCCCTAAGGGCGGAATTACGATGAACTTTACGTAACGGGACGCGACGGGACGTGAAGTGACGTGACGTGAATTTGACGTTTGAGGTTATATTTGATATTACGATCACCGTAACGTGCCGTAATAATGAATTCTGCTGTGAGGCATTATCAATTTGTAAATTTAATTTTGGCCGGGTATTTGTATCTTCAACTGTGTGGAAGAGGAAACGAATACGAATACCATTGGTGTGAGAGATATTTTTCGAAGAAGAATTCAGTTTGGTGACGGACGGGCATAACCTGGCATAACGTTGATTGGCTGAAAGTGTCACGTGAACAGTCCGACTAGACGGAACGCAACATCTAAATTTGACATTGGCAAGCTTCACGTCGCGTTAAGTTCTGATATTTCACGTCACGTTACGTAAAGTCGAACGTAAAACCCTAAACACAATGTCAGGCAACAGGTAAGAATAAAAATAGACCAATCACAATAGATTATTCTTGTAATAGTCGATTGTGATTGGTCTCTTTTTATTCTTATTGCCTGTTGCCTGGCATTGTGTTTAGGGCTTAACTAGCCGCATATAAAACAATGTATTTTAGGTTTTGTGTCACTTCACGTCCCGTCTCGTCCCGTTACGTTAAGTTCATCGTAATCCCGGCCTAAGGGCCAGAACACAGACTTCTGCATAACGCATAATACACAACCCATAAGAGAATCAACCAATGAGAGTTCTTCATTTTTGTCCCGGAGGGAAATGAAGAAAACTAATTGGTTTATTCTCTTATGCGTTATGTATTATGTGTTATGCAAAAGTCTGTGCTCTTGCCCTAACAATTGATCTAAGCAAACATAACCCGAAAATATAACAGGTCCAAATTTTTCTGTATTTTATATTCATATTATGAATTAAATATTAATATTTTAAAGCTTTTGTTGAACAAGAGAAGTCAGATATATATAACCTGAATAATCCAAATGCTGTGATTGATTGGCAATATGTATAGAATTTTCAACGTGGTGAAAATTCTGTGTATATTGCCTGTTTTATGGTCATTCTGTATTGATTCATGGTTTCTTGTATGTGGAGTTTCTTGTTTCTGTTATTTATTTCTGTTCACTGTTCTTATTGCCTGTTGTCTGATATTGTGCAAAGGCCATTACTCTTCCTTTGTCTGGGGTTCTATAGAATTAATGGGTAGAATTTTAGAACGTAGCTAAGGAAGGTAGCAAAGATAATGATTTGTCGCGACGCTTGAGCTAAATAACTTTTGTGTTTAATGTTTAATAATGTTTAATGGAGATGAAACTGAATTATTTCAGAAGAATATTAAAGCTATAATTATAATCTATGTTATAATTATAACCATACAAAATGCATATACATAACCAAAGAAATCTATGATGAGATTTATACTTTTATATTTACAAAAATTACATATATATTTTTACATTTACAAAAATTAGATAAGCCAAGAAATTTTTCAATACTCTAATTAGTACTTATAGTAAGTTCAATACATTGTTATTTATTATGATATATAGCTGCCTGTATTTTACTCTACATATTTTTCATCAAATTGTGAAAGGAAGAAAACTGTTATAATGCTTGCATCTCCACCGAATCCCAAGTTTTTGTTGCATGGTGATATGAAGGAAAGTGTATACAGTTTATTATTCTCAATTAATTCTAATATAGAACATCTGTATGCTGGTGATGGAAAAGGCATAGTTTATATTTGGGACTTAAAGGTATATAAATATTTTATTCTTTTTAATAAATTATATAAATCTTCAATAAATAAAGATTTATATTCTTACACATGCTTATATAATTTTTATGGATTATATATCCTTATGCATTCTTATACAAACTTAAATTATATTTTTGGATTATAAACTTAGATTAGTAAATTAGTGAATTAATTAGTGAAAGAATTATTAAAACAGTTTGAAGTAAATTTATTTATTTTTTAAGAATTATTAAAACAAATATATATATGGTATGTATGTATATAAATTATAGATTTTCTTTATTATGTTGCAGAAAAATAGAATAAAAGCTCAATTATCAGATGGAGATAGTCCATGTTTTAACTTGCATATAACTAATGTTGCTGATTTGATAGTACAACGAAGACATGGTATAATCGATATATATAAAACAAGTGAATCAAACTGGGTGTTAAATAAAAGTGTCAACTATAAATATTGCAGTTTCTGCAGGTATAATAAGATAATAATATAAATTTCTTTTTTAAGTTAATACTAGATTTTGCATTACAGGTCCCAGTTATTGCCAGAGAAGGATGCAATAGTAGTTCCACTTGATTCTGCAGCAGTAGGAATATTATCATTAAAAACTTTCAATATTGAATCAACATTAGATCCTGTCAAACTGTCTTATTATAATCAGTTGGGTACTGTGATGTCAGTAAAACCATTAATACATATAAATGGTTTGATTTTAATTGCTTATGAGGGTGGACAATTATTATTGTGGGACATGAAAAAGAATGATGTCCTTAGTTCTCTTAACATAGAACAATATCCAATGACTTTTGATTTTGATGCTTCTTTGATGCAAGGAATTGTTGGTAGTGCATCAGACAAATTAGAGGTATTACAAACATTGACTCAATAGTTTAAATAATTTACCAAATATCTGATTAATATAAACGATTGATATCATTTCAAATGCATATATTAAATTTATAAATTTTTTAGGTTTTTAAAATGTCTCAAAGTCATATTTTATCCTACAAATTTACAAAAATTTTGAATCATGTTTCTGGTATATCCATGCTTTCGATAAGACCAGATAAAAAAATAGTTACAGCTGGTTGTTGGGATGGGCGGATGATGTTATTTTCTTGGAAAAAATTAAGGCCACTTGCGATATTAAAAGAACACACAGAAAGCATATATGATATTATTTATTCACATTGTGAAGTCGAGGCTTATGATACTAAATGTTTAATGGCAGCAACAGGCAAAGATAGCTACATATCCCTGTGGGATATATATAATTAGAAATTGTAAATATTAGCAGAATATATTTATGGAGAATATAAAATATTTTTTGCTATAATTAAGCACTCTAATAAATACTTTGTATGATAATATATGTATAAAAAAGTGAAGCAAATTATTGCATTTAGCTTGTATTAAATTTATGATTATTAGTTAATGTTTTTAAATATCAAAATATATCGTTTATTACATATTTTTACATCATATATTTCTTATAACATTATTGCCATCTAACTATATAATATGTTTTCTTACCAACTCTGAGTAATGATATATTATTACTTAATATGTGTATACCAGGTACAATTGCTTCGTTTAAATTCGTAATTTTTTTATGGTTTATATAAAATCCACCTGCTGTTATGATGCGTTGCGCATCGTCGTTGCTTTTAAAACATTTTGCTTTAATTGCTAAATTATATACAGTAAGTCCTGGTTCTGATAAAACATCTACTATAGTTGCAGCTTCAAACACATCTGCCAATTCTGATGCATTCATTTTTACAAGGATTTCGATTGACTGATCATATAATACAGCAGATGCACGCTTTGCCGCAAATAATCCTTCTTCTGCAAAAAATTCGTAAATAATAACAAATTAATAATAATTTTTAATAATTTTAATCAATAATAATTTTATATAAAAATTACCTCCATGCACTAAAAGTGTGACTTGTTGTGCTAGTATTTTTTGTGCTATTCTCTGTTCTGGATTCTTCATATGTTCATCCACAATTTCGTTAATTTTATCTAGCGATAGAAATGTGAATAGTTTGAACAATTTCTTAACATCTGAGTCTTTAGTTCTAATAAAATATTGATATAGTTGAAAGCTTGAAGATTTCATTGAGGATAACCATATTGCGTTCATAAGAGACTTTCCAAATTTTTTTCCACCTTCAGCTGTTATGAGTGGTATTGTAATACCATAAACCTGTTTTCTTGTACTTTTTGCAATTAGATCATATCCAGACATAATATTACCCATTTGATCACTTCCACCAATTTGAAAGCAGCAATTGTATTTTATCATCAACTGCAACCAGTCATACGCTTGAAATACTTGATAAGTAAATTCAGTGAAACTCATTCCTGTATCTGAGTTCAATCGTGTCTGGACAGAAGCTCTGCCTAACATAGTGCCCATTCTAAGATACTTTCCAATATTTCTTACAAATTCAATAACATTTACATCTGTGTACCAATTTAAATTATTTACTATAATCAGGGGCCTCAGAGATTCTTGCTTGTACTTCCAGAAATAATTTTCATGATTAGTAAAGATAGTTTCTATATTTTTCATAATAGATTTGACATTTTCTTCAATTAAACATTTTTCTATCTCAATACGTTCAGATTTTCTATGACTAGGATCACCTATTAAACCTGTAGCTCCTCCTACTAAAGCTATAACTTGATGTCCTGCTCTTTGCCAATGTAAAAGATTCATCAAGATAAGTAAATTGCCAATGTGTAAACTATCTGCTGTTGGATCAAATCCAGCATAGACACACTGTGGTGATTTATTTAATAATTCTACTATTTCGTTTCTGAAAACATGTATACATAATATTTATATCATCAAGAAAATAAAACATTCTTTAAAAATATATGTGTATGTGTGTATATATGTGAAGCATATATAAAATAATATTTTCATAACATAAATTAGTATACTTACGTACTAATATTAGGAAATATATTCTCGTACATGCCTCTTTCGTGAAGTTTTAGTATATTTTTACTACAATAAAATCTCTGTTTATTAAAATTAGCACTTTTTATAGTAGAACACAACCGTAATAAATACCAAACACTCATCCTATTTAAATACATTTATAATTTTAGAATAGATACTGTTAATTATCTTTAAGATTGAGAAATCGAATTTTATTTTATATTTTTCGCGTGAAAACTCAAGTGTAAAAACTTATGTAGTTTTTAACTTTTCTAAGTAAAGTTCAGCGATCGTTATTAGTAGAAAGAAGCTTAAGGGTCTACAGGACAGTATTGCCAACTCTGAATTTTAGAATCCGTCAAACGTTTCTCCAAAAAACCCCAGAAATAAGCTGAAATTAATAAATATGTGTGTGTGTATATGTGCACGCGTGCTATGTATTTTACGTGTGCATATGTTTTTAAGAAAGGAATTAAAATAAATACATAATTAGTTTTATTGTTGATTAATTTTATTCATAATAATATAATTATATTATATTATTGATACAATATCGCTTTTATATATATATATTTATATATACAGGGTGTTTGATAGCTGATCATGCAGACGAAAGTTGGAGATAGATTGGGTGTAGCCGAGAAGAAAAGTCATATACCATAATAATCAAATTGGCAATAGTTATCGAGTTAGTAATTAAAACATGTGAGCCAACGAGCGCGTAGAGAACGGAGGGCGACCGCAGTAAGCACGTAGACATTTGACACAGGCGGAGTCAGCGAGTAACGGTAGGCGAGCGCGCGCGGCGAGGGGCAACGTAAACGACAAGAGGCGAGCGCGCGCGACGAGGAGCGAGCGAGCGCGAACGACGAGGAGCGAGCGAGCGCAAGTGACAAGAGGCGAGCGAGCGCGACGAAAAGCGAGCGAGCGAGCTATAAGGAAAAAGCTATAAAGAAAAAACTCGCTCGCTCGCTCCTCGTCGCGCGCGATCGCCTCTTGTCGCTTACATTGCCCCTCGCCGCGCGCGCTTTCCTACCGTCACTCATATTTATTGCATATCATAGTTTTCATATTTCATTTTATTATAAGCAGTATTATATACGCGGTATTATCTACTTTTAGCAACTGATGTCTTCTTATTTCTTTTAGGAAAATCAATCTTCTTTTGACGATGAAGTAAATGGAGCTGATGCTCTTATATGTTTTCTACTTTTCGAATGGTTATCAATGTCAGTCAATTTGGCAGTAATAGTGCATTTACACCACTTACATGTTGCTCTTGTTGGGTCATCATCAAGAGCCAGTCTTTGAATTTATCTGACTTTAACCAAGCCAGACGAAATTTTTGTTTATATTGTGGTGGCATCTACATATATCATAAATGTAGCAAAATTAATCTAAGTTAATAATAGCAATAATATAAGGTATATAAAATAATAGTGCAGAAAGATATTAAAACAAGTAATAATACTTACGTTCAAGTCAAACTTATGAGTTGAGAAATAAGCTTTGTACACCACAAATAAATGATCAAGTGTTGTTATTTCCTATTATCTATTATGTAGATAGTTCAGTATCCTCGCAATCTTAGGGCTCTCACAGCCAGCGTAACGCGATACGCGATATGCAACGCGTGATATCCAATAAGCGTACAATTATCAAAATAGTAGAACGATCATTGAATATCGCGCGTCACTTGTTGCGTGTCGCGTCGCGCTGGCCTGCGAGAGCTTTTAGGCCTGGAACACAATACGTCGTATGTCGGAGTCAGATGTCGGATTCATTCATAGGCCGGTATTCATAGTCGGATTTTATATTTAAGACCGTCTTAAATTTATCTTCAAACTCTGTACAAAGCATTTCATTGGCTGTAGAGTATCTGAAAGTGAACTTAAGACGGTCTTAAATATAAGACCTGACTATGAATACCAGCCATAGTCCAATGAGAAAAACTCGTTACCGGAAAACAAACTCTCTTATTGGATCATCACTGAGTTGCGACATCCGACTCCAACATACGACGTATTGTATTCCAGGCCTTATGCTGCTTCCCCATGCGATGTAAGATATGTAACTTGTGTTAAACCGCGTCAGCAAATCAAATCATTTCAGTTACGCAAATCTGTCTAGTGCAAGCATACATAAATTTAATCATGCAATATTAAAGTAATATATATTATTTAATTGTAATTAACGCTTTTCAATAACAATAAATCACACCTAATAACGCCTCATTCAAATTTAATAAAAAAAGTTAACTTATTTTGGAAAAAAATCCGCCGTTTCAATTTTTAAAAAATCCAGAAAATACGTCAACAGCTAAACCGCAATTTTTGCACGCTAAGCGTTATTTAAAAAAGCTAGAAATGACGGAAAATAAGCCAAGTTGGCAACACTGCTACAGGAGCCATACTAGAGACCTCTCGCGGAGACCCGCGAACTAGGCAAAATTATATTGCAAATTATAAACAAAATCCGAAGAGAATCACCTTATATGTATGATATTTGCAATTAGGAGAAACGTCCGCAGGGTCGTACAGAGAGCTTTTTTGAAAAAAAAGTCGAAATAAAAATCGATTAAATAATTTGAATGAACGTTCATTCCGCGGTATAACACGAGCCTATATTTTCATTTATTACAAATTTTCAAGAACTTAAATGCAAAATCGGGCTCTGTACGACCCTAGATATTAATATAAGGAAGATGCCTGTGTAAGTCTGATAAGCGAATATGATGTCTGCGTGGCAAAATCTGTTGATGTAGATAACATGGAAAATGTAGCCCAGCTGCACTATGGTGCAGTGTATACGACCTAACCTTCCTACTTTGCATTCGCGCAGAGAGAAACCTGAAAGCGGCCAACACGGCGTTTTCTGCGACACCGACTTTCCGCACTGAGAAAGGACGCCATCTGCATCCATTTTGAGAGGGGAACTACGATGTTACATCCACTTTCAGATCTAGGTGGTAAAATCTGCATATGGTGGGAGTCCGTGTTACATTCACTTTCAGACGGCTTATGTCCGTGCTGCAACCATAGTTGCCATCTCTATGCCAGATTATGCCCGGAGGACAAAAAATCAGGGGGGAGGGGGGAGGAGCAGAAAAAATAAAAGTACGTATTAAATGTTAAATCTTCGAATACATGTTGCCGTATCAAAGTCTCCTCTATAATAAACGATTTGACATGTCTGGAGATGCATGATGTATCGCATGATGCCCGCGTCCCGTTCTCTTCGTCCTGCTTCTCAATTCAGCATCCCGTCCGCTTCGGACATTCGCTCGTGGCACTGACAGTGGCCGTCGGTGAGCATTTTATCCGCTCGGAGAAGCACGTGTTAATTAACACGATGAGACTCCAATTATAAATATCCCGCGAGTCGACGAAATATCTGAACTTTTAAAAAAAGCATCAAAGAAAATCACGTTGATGTTGTCATGGGTGAAATTCCACCCTAGCATATATTTTTTTATTTTTGAAATAAAAAAAGCCAAACGAATGCAATTAAATGTTATTTATCAACATTGAATATTAGATGAAAAGTAGAAGAGTTATTGTCTGCAGCGGATAATCTAATATTTAATAAGAACGAGACAAAATTCGCATGGGATGAAATTCCACTCTTTAACGCTACTATGTCCTTTAATTATTCTCCGAAAACAGCGTCACAACAATTTTAACCCTCTGTACAATTAGTTGCTAACACATTTTCTAATCGTACACATTCCTCTTTAATTAACATAAAGCTAACAAATGTCCGATGCTTCGACAGAGTAATTTTCTTTATTTTCAGTAATCAATAAATAGTAAATCAATGTTGCGTACAATTGATAGGCCTCCTCGCATTTCCCTCGTCGTTCCGGAACCTTCGAGAAAAGAAGAGAAGACTTGCCCAAGGGCAAATCTCTCTTGCTTTAACCGCCGCAGAAGTCCGCTTTAAAAATATTGAACAGGTATTTTTTATTTCTCAATCCAATGATCATTTCTGGAGAATTGTGGAAAATATAACTTTTTGCGATTACAGCGCCATCTATCACGAGTAAAAAAAAAAGTTTCGGACAAAATTTACGTATTTTGTGGCGTAGAATCCGTTTCTGCAATAAAAAATGGGGGTTTTCATTTAAGATTTCAAAGTTGCCCCCAACCCCCACCCCCAGGGGTGGGGTGGGAGGTCGAGTTTGATATCATTGGATGTCCCCCTTCGAGACTAACAACTTTCATTAACCACTTTTTTTTATCCAATGCATAGTTCTCGAGATATTTCAATGTCTTCAGATAAATCGTGCACCCTATATACAGGGTAATCCAAAATTCCCGTATTCGGAGTACAGGACATGATACTTTATGCTAAAACAAACAACTTTTTCCTTTAGCAAAATTGCATCCGACAAGTAGTTTTTGCAGGAGAGGGTGTTACATTTAACGAATAAGCGCTCTTGTCTATATAGCGCTCAGGGCCGGCGCGCGCGCCTCACTCGTGTGTACCTAGTCCGTGATTAGTAATCATAAATAGTGTCTTTTAAGACGCTCATACGGTTCTCTTATGATTAGTTTACGACATTTTAAGACTGTGCTTAAGACAATTTTAAATAATAAGAATCAATTATGAACAATACCGGGATTTGACCTGCTTTCGTATTTGTATTGCTTAAATAATGAAAAGTTAATAAAATAAGTACTGCCTTTATTTCTTACGTAATAAATGAATAAAATATTGTCTGGTTGCACAATATTATCTGAAAATAAAGACAAATGTAAATAGTATAATGTTTTGCGAGCTGTGAGCGTTCTATTATTTCAAATATTGCACAATTACGTGATAATTAAATATCATTAAACTTAAAGAATAATTTATTGATCAAGCGTATACATAGGAGTATACATATTTATAACAGTGATTAAAAGTAAAATATTTGAATTAACGTCTTTTAAGAGTTCTCTTTTTATTTTTTTATATTATAATAGAAAATACAAAGAACTTATTTAAAATTCAAATTGTGTGATATACTCATGTCACGGTCTACATTTACTTATTATTGCTTATGTACGTTAGCCTTTCAATATATACTTTCCTTACATGTTTTGATTATTGCGAGGAATATTGCTATAGCCTCAATGGTTAAGTTGGTTAAGAAAATAAATCATTGGTACGTTTAGTGTTAAAATGTATATGTGGGAGGGGTTACATATAACACAATAAATTTC